GGTATGTTTAGGAACACAACTTGTTTGTTTATGTTCAGGGCGTGTTGGAGAATGGTATGGAGATAGCTGTGAAGAGGCTATCAACAAACTCAGGCCAAGGAATGGTAGAGTTTAAGAACGAGGTGAAGCTGATATCAAAGCTGCAGCATCGGAACCTCGTGAGAATCTTAGGGTGTTGCGTTGAACTGGAAGAAAAGATGTTGATATATGAGTATCTACCGAACAAGAGTCTAGACTATTTCATATTCCGTACGTTCATAACTTATAATATACCTTTTTCTTATGAGAAAGACCTGTGACTTCATTTTCATTCACTATTTTATGTTAGATGAAGAGCATAGAGCGCTTTTGGATTGGCCACAACGGATAGATATAATACGTGGGGTTGCTCGTGGAGTTCTTTATCTTCATCATGATTCAAGACTTAGGATCATCCACAGGGACCTCAAGGCAAGCAATGTACTTCTTGACAATGAAATGATCCCTAAGATTTCAGATTTTGGCATGGCGAGGATCTTTGGAGGAAACCAAATCGAAGGAAGCACCAAACGGGTCGTTGGAACATAGTGAGTTAGTCTCTTTCTCAATCCACACAACACTCTTCTTTTCAATCTTTAAAGTAGTTCCAACCTCATTGTGCAGTGGATATATGTCACCGGAGTACGCAATGGATGGCCAATTCTCCATAAAATCTGACGTGTACAGTTTTGGAGTATTGATGCTAGAGATCATTACCGGAAAGAAAAACAGTGGTTGCTACAATGATTTTTCAAATCTACTCGGACATGTAAGTAAAAAGAAAACAACATTATGTTTAAGAGAACACATAAGCAAATGTTTGTTTTTCTTCTTATTGTATAGATTTGGGATCTATGGAAGAAAGGTGAAGTAATAGAGATCATAGACAAACTAATGAACGCAAAGACTTATGATGAGAGCGAAGTTATCAAGTGCATACACATTGGGTTGCTTTGTGTTCAAGAAAACGCTTCGGACAGAGTAGACATGTCTACCGTTGTGCTAATGTTGGGACATAACGCTATTGATCTTCCGTCTCCGAAGCATCCTGCCTTTACGACAGGGAGGAGGATAGAGAGTAATGATGGTGGTAGCTCCTCCGGTGCTTGGCTCAGTGGAGAAAACGGCAATTCTATTAATGACGTCACCCTTACCACCATTCATGGCCGTTGAAAAAATTATATTACGTACAACGGTTCAATTTTTTTTTTGTTAGTCTAGAGATCTTGAAACAATTGAGAGGGCTTTGATGCAATGTAAACCACTAGAGGAAAGGATAACAATATTGCATCATCACAACACGAGAGTGCTATTGACATTTCTGATTCGATGAACAAGAGATTATTAGTAAAATATGGTAATGGTATGTTGTCGGTGGAGTTAGATTTCTGGAGCTTTGTACTTTGTATACTAGAACACTTGATGTAGCATCTCAAATAAAAAAAAATTGATATTTTAGCCAGATTTAATTCTTCTTTCTTTTGCGCAATTCTCTCAAATAGCACACTTTTAAATTTTTATCACAAAATAGATCTTAAAAATTAAAATAACCAAAATAGTATTTTTTATTATAAAAATTTAAGTTTTTTTTATTTCTTTTAATGTTATTCTAGTCATTTTCTCAAATAGGACAATTCTCTCAAATAGCAATTCTCTCAATTCGATATTATTGGATTGTAATTGTAGAAATTTTATTAGTAGAATTTTTGGATATAACTGTAAAAATTAAATGAAAAAAAAAATAAAAAATATTGTGACAGTAATCATATACTAGATCATGACCCGCCCGACCGGGCGGGTGTTTTGTTTTCTTTTAATTTTTAGGTTTATACTAAATGATGTAAAATAAAAAATGAAATATCAATTAAATGGTTACAAATTACTTATGGGTTTAATTTTGAAAGAAGAATACCAAAAAGTTTGTTGTTTGATCCGCGCAAGTGTTTGTTTTTATATATTTTATAACTGATTATATATTTATCTAAATTTACCCCTTTAAATAATTGTTTAAAATGACATTTTAAACACACAATTTTATAATTTATATTGAGTAATTTTATTTTATCTTATAAACTATCATTGTTTCATACTTATTTTTAAAATATGACCCGTATATCTGCACAAATGTTTTTATTTTATTTTTATGGATCAAAATTTTATGATAATGTATAACTAAATTGTTTTATTTACTATTTAAAATACATGGTCCTATATATTTATACTTTTTAACTTTTATTATTCTGAATTTACCTTGAACTATTATTTATATAAAAATATACATAACATGATATGTTTATATTAATCTTTTTCTTATATATTATATAAATGTTTCTTTTTGTGACTTTTATTTTAGTTATTACTAATAAATAATAAAAATATAATTATATATCTTTGAAAAAAATATTGTTCATTAACTATTTAAAGATATGTAGATAATTAATAAGAAAAAAATCCTAAAAGGTAGGTTAATTAATATTGGAATTAATTATTATGTATATAGAATTAGTAAAACAATTTCTATATAATTTATTTATTTAATTATGAAAGGTATATATGAAAATAATTATTTTCATTAATTATTGTTGCCATAATTTTTTTTAGTTAAAATTTGATTTTGGAAATGCATTAAGTAAAGACAAAGAATTCTATAAGATATGGTAATTAATAACTTCAGTGGCATAACATTGTAAATAATTAGAAAAACTCAGGGGTATTTTATATGGGTACTTCTCTTTTAATAATATAGATATTAATATATTTTTTTGTTTTAGAAAATAAAATGATTTATGTAGTCGTAGATAGAAAATATTAAATTGGATTGGGCTGACCTTAACTCAGGCCCAAATACCAATCCACAAGCCTATGAGAGACTTTACGACGGCACGGTGTCGTTTAAAGCACTCTTGGAGAAACATCAGGTGAAAAAAATATCTTATCCTCTTCAGTCTCTCTACTCGCTTTCTCCAACTGCAAATGGCTTCCTTCACAACTTCTTCCTCTCTCCTCCCCAAAACCTTACCTCCCACAACCCACCTGACACGCTTCCCTACACTCTCCAACATCCGTATTCTCGGGAAATGGAACCACCCTCTGCTCCGGAGCATCTCCACCGCCGAGTCTCGCCGTCGTGTCACGATTGTAAAGGCCGCGACTTTAGATTCGGATTATTCCTCGAAACGGAGCAGTAGTAGTGAGCAGAGGGAGACGATAATGCTTCCGGGATGCGATTATAATCACTGGCTGATTGTGATGGAGTTTCCCAAGGATCCAGCTCCCACGAGGGATCAGATGATTGAGACTTATCTCAACACTCTCGCTACTGTTCTCGGAAGGTTTTGTTCTCTCTTCTTCTTAGTAGTTGTCTTTAGTTGTTGTATAGTTATCAATCTCGAGAGAGAAGATGTATAGATATAATATAAGCTTATGAGCAAAAAAAAATAAAAATTTGAACTTGAAAACGCTGTTGAGTCATTTGAACTCAAACTTTGATATGGAGAGTCTGTTTTAGCTGCTTAAGTTGAGTCGTAGGTGATCTCGAGTTATTGGAGTTACGCATGGTAGAAGCAAAAGGTTGTTCTTTTTGGGGTTTGGAAGCTAAAAGCACTGTCTTTCATATGTGTACTTGTTGTTAGTGTTATTAGGAGTGAAAGTTAGGTGAATAATAGAAAGCTTCCGTTTTTGTATGTTTTCTTCAAGCTATGTATGAATTACAGATGTTGTCCATGGTGTGTCTCTGTTAAAATTTGATGTGGACGTTGTAATTTGTAAGCAAATAAAGGCTGAAACTTTACTGGATTTATAGTGGGGAAATTACTAAAGCTTCAGTTTATTTGTTGCTGGTGGTTGTTTTTTAGAGAACTTGAACTGTGTCTACACTATCGTGCAGCTGTTGTAACCAATTAATGTACCTGTGTCCGTTTTGTAGCATAACCAATTCATTCCGTGTGCTTATTGAGTGTATATGTGTCTGTTTTTCAGTATGGAAGAGGCGAAGAAGAACATGTATGCATTCAGTACCACCACGTATACTGGATTCCAATGCACCATTGATGAAGAAACATCTGAGAAGTTCAAGGGTGAGTTAGTGATCAATTAATAGCTTTAGTCCTCTTATTGTAAGTCTATGCTTGTAATCGTTGAAAACCTCCAAGACACTAACAGCTCAGTTTTTTAAAAATTCACAGGTTTACCTGGAGTTCTTTGGGTTCTGCCTGACTCTTACATAGATGTCAAGAACAAGGACTATGGAGGTAACCCTGCTTAGTGATTACACTTTCTCCGAAATCTCTCTCTCAAGCTGTCTTAATATTTGGATGTGTTTTGTTCGGTATAGGTGATAAGTACATCAATGGAGAGATTATCCCCTGCACATACCCAACATACCAACCAAAGCAGCGCAATAACTCCAAGTATCAAAGCAAGAGGTACGAAAGGAAAAGAGACGGTCCACCTCCTGAGCAGCAGAGGAAACCAAGACAAGCACCAACCGCTTCTGATTCCTCTTGAACTATGATAACACAATCCCCTTACTTAGTAACGGAGTGTTTAAGATTTTGATCATTCGGTTAGTCCCTAGCGTATTAAAACCAGATACTAAAAATCGTCTAGTATCAATGATGATACTGTATCATCATCGTTTGGAACAAACTTTTATGGTTATGGTGATTTGAACTTTTATCTGGTTTAAAGTTCTTCGGCTAGTATGACCTTTTGTTAAAATAGATGTTCTAGAATATGATTTAGGTTTGATTTTGGGTCCGGTTAATTAGTTTGGTTGGAATCTCTTTGTCCACCGCTTGTTCGCCCCACGTTTTCTCAAATACCACTTCAAGACAAGACACGAAACTTGCGTTTCCAGACAACTTTAGTTGTAGGGTCACTACACACTCGTCACCATCTACATCACTCGTGCCCACCTTATCAACACATCACATGAAAACAATACGTTTACACGGACTTAAAACCAAACCTTTCAAATCACTTTTAACCCAGTGCTCCACTCAATCTTCTGCTTTCACCAAAACAACATCTCCAAGCTCTCAGAGAATCAAACCCCAAGATGGCAAGTTTCTATGAGCATTACGAGTTCCCATACGATTCCAACCAGGTTAATCATCTCTATGATCATAACTATTATGATAACAATCAACAACAGATGTTTGGTTCTGATTCAATGAGTTACAATAGTTATGATACCTGGAATGGTTCTGAGTATGAGTATGAGACAACCTCTGCATCTGTTGCTTACTCTGTTTCTACCATGTCTGAGCCGAAACACTTGTTCTATGATCCGAGTTACTACACAACAACAACCTACGAGTCTCCTCCTCAGTTTAGAATCTACTGCAATATCCAAAACTTCAACGAGCCGGAGTTTGAAGAGTACGATCCGACGCCGTATGGTGGTGGCTATGATATCGTTGCAACATACGGGAAACCACTTCCTGCATCGGAGAAAATTTGTTACCCTTCTTTAACCGCTGGTCTAGCTACACCTCCTTCTCCTCCAGAGATTATCGCTCCCGTTCCTCTTGGAATCTATGATGGTGGTGAAAAGAAAGATGTTAAGAAACGTGTAACTTTCTCTGAGACATTAGAGGAAGCTAAACCATTGGAAACCATTCAAGAAAAAGAACATGATCATCAAGAAGAAGAGGAAGATGATGATGACGAGGAAGAGGAAGAAGAAGAAGATCACAGTTCAAGCAATGGAACTGTGAAACCTGAAACTGTAGATAAAGTTGAAGTGAAAGCTCTGTATGTTCCCTCTGGTTACGGTTTAGAAGCGACAGATCTCTGCGAGGTGATATTCGGAGGCTACTTTCCTTGTGTCTTACGTAACAAAAGACGCCAAGAAGATGAGAATCGTGCGGCTGAAGTTACTTGCTGGGAAACCACTGATTCTGATCCGTGGAAGACTACTTCAGATTACCTTTTTGGTGATTCGTATCCGTATGGTTATGAGAATGGAGTTGGAAGAAGACAGTTCGAGATCTCTTCTTATGGTTACTATAGGTATTAACCGGAGTTATATGATCATCAGATTTGTTCAAAGTTAAGGTAATTAAGAGCAACATTATTTTGATGTTTGGTGAAGATCATTACAGTATATACAATGATTTTTCTTGNTACCTTTTTGGTGATTCGTATCCGTATGGTTATGAGAATGGAGTTGGAAGAAGACAGTTCGAGATCTCTTCTTATGGTTACTATAGGTATTAACCGGAGTTATATGATCATCAGATTTGTTCAAAGTTAAGGTAATTAAGAGCAACATTATTTTGATGTTTGGTGAAGATCATTACAGTATATACAATGATTTTTCTTGTATGGTTGGTCCAACGTTACTATGGAAAGATATTCCAGGTTGATCAATAAAGAAACATTTCTTAACTCTGTCTCTACCATTTAAATATCTTAGTATAGTTTTATTGTAATTTCTTAAGGTAAATTATAATAAGAACTTTGTAGTTTTGATTCTTAAGATGAGAAGATATCATATTAAGACATATACATATATATACTTAAGGTTTGGAGGAAGCAAAAAGTTCTTAAACTCCTTTGTATAACTAAAGATCTTTTGCAGCAGACTTGGATCGTATGCCAGTTTTTTCTTACCTTAGGAGGTTGATCTAACCGGAATCAATGTGTTTAAACTAGAAATGTCAGCTTTATTTTAATTTGGATTATCTTTTTGTTTTTTTTTATGCTCAAAAGTTTGGATTATCTGTTAATCTTTTGTCGGTAGGGTAAACTAAGAGTAGTTAAAAAAAAAAAAAAAACTAAGAGTAGTTCAACTGGTTGGTGAATAATAATGATATGAGGGGACACAATTGAACCGTCTTAAACCGATTAAATTGAAGTAGTTCGATAGAAGAACCGAATCAAACCGTACCCAAATTGAGTCACACCTCACCTAGCAATCAGATATCAGTCGAAACGACAACGTTTCAAAAGAAAGCCGCCCTTATATTTCGTTCTTCACCTTATTAAAGGAAAGCACGAAGCAGAAAAGAGAAAACCCTAAAACCCCATTCGAGAGAGGCAGAGATAAATAAAAAGTTCCTTAGCTCAAGAAGATGATTATCCCCGTACGATGCTTCACTTGCGGAAAGGTTTATCTTACTTCCTCAGCTTTCGTTAATCAAAGCGATTTCAAATCTAATTTTAGGGATTTCTCCTGTCTTTCTAGGGTTTTTTAGCTACTCTAAAAATTCGAGATTAATGTTTTTATCGGATAGATACGTTATGGGTCGATTAGATAAATTCGTTTCGAACGATAAAGTTTCGAGCTTTACGAAGCTGTTATGGATCGATTGGATAAAATCGTTTCGAGAGATAAAAAGTTTTGAGCTTTACGAAGGTTTTCACTCTTGTGATTTTTGTAGGTGATTGGGAACAAGTGGGATCAGTATCTGGATCTTCTCCAGCTTGATTACACTGAAGGGTAAGCTCCTTGATTCTTCTCCAATTAGTTTATTTGAATTTGGGAGGAATTAGTTAGTCCAGAACTGCGTACTGAGTCTGTCTTTAAGTAAGGATTAAGTTTTAAAATAATCTTCTGTTTATGTTCATTATATTACTGGAAGAGACTGTGTTCCGCCTAGAATGATTTAGATGTGCCCCTAATCTAGTTTTGCTATTTGAAGTAAAACATGTTGGCTTTTGATTATACTTGTGCATGTACATGGTTCTTCTTGTACTAATCACTGGAAAACTTTGATTTTTTACACGAGAGAAAGTAGCCACCTGCTCTGTGATTTCCGTTGGAAGATGATACGTGATATATATTTGATTAGTTAACATCATTTCGTTAGTGGAGGAACAAATCAATTAAGGGTTGATGGTTTAAGACTTTAAGCCAATAATCTGCTTTTTATATGTTATTAGATTAGTTTAACAACATTTCGTTAGTGGGGAAACTTATCAATGAAGGGTTGGTGGTTTAAGACTTTAGCTGATGTTCTGCTCTCTGCTGTTAAATGTTGTTTGGAGAGACTTCTGCGTCTATCTTGTTTAGTTTGTAGATACTTTCTCTATTGCTAGTAGTAGTGTATGAATGCAAACTGTCGATGATATCTTATTTCATCAAACAAATTTTGTATTGAGTTAGAAATTGCTTTTTGCAGGGACGCACTTGATGCCCTCAACCTTGTGAGATACTGCTGCAGGCGTATGCTAATGACGCATGTTGATCTGATTGAGAAGCTTCTCAACTACAACAGTACGGTCTCCAAACTTTCTATATATTGTTTCTTTTGACAGCTTTTCTTGGTTAGTTGTCATGTTAGATTTTTAACCCAAATGCGATTTATTTCTTTGCAGCTTTGGAAAAGTCAGACAACAGTTAGAAGGGGACGGAAATCTGCTGAAGAGTATCCCTCCTAAGAATATGTATGAAAAAGTCTCTGTGTTTGGGTGTAGAAACTTGAATCGATCTGAATAATATGGGGTTTTGAAAGACGCTAGTGATTTTGTCATATGTATGTCAGTGACGGCTGTGTGATTCAGTGTTATAATTTTATGAGCTGAAAGAATTGTTTTCCTTTTGAGTAATTCATCTTCCAGTAGTTCTCTCATTTTGTCTTCATCCTCCTTCATAGCGTTTTTTTTTATTTAGTGGAGAATTACATCCTCGTTAATACTCAATCAAATCAATCTTCTAAAGCTTCTGCTCCAATAGAGGGTTTCTCATATATCTGGTTTCACAAAATGTCGGTCCTGATGGAGAAATCATTGTATAATGAGCATGAAATTACGTTTTGGTTATGATGATTTCTGTAATATCTAGAACAACAAGACGGTTTGGCCGAGTGGTCTAAGGCGCCAGATTTAGGCTCTGGTCCGAAAGGGCGTGGGTTCAAATCCCACAGCCGTCACATCTTTTTAATATTTCATTAACCCGAACCCTCTAGCTTATCCAGCAGCTTTTACACTCTTGCATCAGTATATAAACCCATAATTTTGAACAATTCTTCACTTCTCCACTATCTTCCGCCAAACTCCACCTCCCTCGGATCTATTTCCATATCCCTCTTCTCAAATCAATTCAAAGAAATCGAAAAATGGCAGATCACAAAAATCTCCCACACCATTTCCTCCTCTCACTATCATTACTCTCGATCCTCGCCGTCTCGCAACCAGATCGCACCAAAGACCTCGTCTCCCTCCGATCATCCTCCGAATCCGGCGTGATCCGCCTCAAAAACGACACCGTTTCGAAATTCATAACCTCCGTACCCACCCCTAGACCTTACTCCCTAATCATCTTCTTCAACTCCATCGATCTCAACAGCAAAACCCTCCAAGAGCTCCGCGCAGAATTCGGATTCGCCTCCTCCTCTTTCCTCGCCAACAACAACAACAGATCTGACGTAGCCAACAAGCTATTCTTCTGCGAGATCGATTCATCGGACTCGGAGGCTTTCCACCTCTTCGCCGTCCAATCGCTACCGGCAATGTGCTTAGTGGATCCTCTGATGGAGAATCCACAAGACCAAGAGGTTAAGATCGATGAATATGATTTTGATGGAACTGCAGAGTCAGTTGCAGAGTTCGTCGAGAGGCGAACTAACTTCACAGTCGGTCCAATCAACCGTCCGCCGCTCTTATCCAAGCCCCAGATCAGTGTGATCGCAGCCTTGTTGGTTATCTCAACTCCTTTCCTTATCAGGAAAGTTCTAAAAGGAGAAACGTTTCTTCACGACACTAGAGTCTGGCTATACGGCGCCGTTTTGGTTTACTTCTTCAGCGTCTCCGGGATTATGCATAATATAATTAAAAGCGTGCCTATGTTCTTCAGAGATGAAGAGGATTCGAATAAGCTGGTTTTCTTCTACGAAGGGCCGGGTTATCAGCTTTGGGGGGAGGGGTTATCTGTTGGGTTCTTGTATAATCTGGTTGGGTTGCTCTTGGCGTATGTTACTAGTGCGCTTGTGCGTGTTAGGAATGTTAATGAGCAAAGGGTGGTTATGATGTTGGCTATGGCTATATCGTTGTTGGCTGTGAAGAAGGTTGTTTATTTGGATAATTGGAAGACTGGGTATCAGATTCAAACGTATTGGCCATCTAGTTGGCATTGATGGAATCATTTACCTTAAGGTAACCTTTTTTTTAGTAACTATAAGGTTCTTTATATTAGTATAGTTTCCGGTTAGTTATTCATCTGAGTGTGAGCATATAGTCAAGTTTGTGGATTCAAGAATTAAGATCTACTAGTGATCAGAGGTCATTAGCTCAATTGTAAATGATCATGATCATGTGTCAAATGTCCCATGTTCGAGTGATTGCTGGGACGAAACTAATATTACATCTAGTTTGGTACCTGAGGGATTATGGGCTTCAGCCCAGAACATTATGGCATTCAAAAAACAATTTAAAAAAATATCCACCAGTGATTAGTCTTTTTGGTGTCGCGCTCTCTTGTCCATTTATCAAAGTTTTGGATGATCGAATTAGAGGGAATGATTGCTCTAGGACTATATATGATATGATTATGCTATTTGTTTCAGTATCAATTGATTTGAGTGTACTTTACCAAGGAAGCATTGCTTCATACAATCTGAAAATCTGAATAAAGATTGAATGGAGAAGATTTATGCGTTACTTGATCCACAAGAAATAAAAAAGATTATCGCTTTATTCTTAACCTTGCTTGCAAATTAAAGCATCTTTTCCCTCATGAAAGTTGCTTCCATAAGATGATAGCTCATGTTTATATTCGTCTTTGGCTTTTGCTAACAGATTTAATTTGTATACAATGGCAGAGACAAATAAAGGAAAAAGTGAAGAAGAAGTTGCAAGGGCATTTGTGAATCACTATTACCATCTCTTTGACAATGATCGATCTTCACTTTCCACTCTCTACAATCCCACCTCGTTGCTTGCTTTTGAAGGCCAAAAGATCTACGGCGTGGAAGATATCTCCAATAAGCTCAAACAACTTCCGTTCGGTCAATGTCGTCATATGATCAGCACCATTGATTCTCAGCCGTCTTCAATGGCTGGTGGCTGTGGCGGAATCCTTGTTTTCGTGAGTGGTAGCCTCCATTTACACGGCGAGGATCATCCTCTTAGGTTTAGCCAGGTCTAGCTCTTCTCTATTTATGATCAACTTGAGAAATTTCTTTGTAAGAACATTTGCAAAATGCTAATTTTTCAATAATTTTTGTGTGACGATCTGCATGAAACTATGGTATATAATATGAGCTTGCACAGATATTTTTTCTGTTGGATATTAGTTGACGTAAATAAAAATGTTATTTAATATTTGCAGACTTTTCACTTGGTCCCTCTTCTACAAGAAAGTTTCTTCGTCCAAAACGAGATGTTTCGGCTCAACTATGGTTGAAGTTATATTAACTTCCATGTTTGGAAATGAAATCCGACCCCCTAATAATATAGTCAATAATTCAAAGAAAATCAATCTTTCATATCGAGTTTATAAAAATAAATTGATATCTTGCTCTGTTTTATGTTCATATATGTGAGCAAAGTTTCAAATTGATTTATATTATAAGATGAAGAATCGAACATTTTTTGGGGATCTCAATTTGTTTATTATCTTTTTTTTTTTTTTTTTATATAGTGAATATTCACGGAGAAACCGAACACATATGAGGCCATAACTACCTGTTTAATCTTAACCATCCCCTTTTTGTTCAAAATCTTTTCCTTCTATCCCAAGAAATAATAATTTCTCCCTCAATCTCCCTCTCTCTCTCTCTCTCTGATAAAATATTTCTCGTACGAAGCAAAAATGAAGAGCAGGAACAGAAACTTAGCCGCCCTGAGTTTGATGATAATTACGGTTTTGTCATGGACAAAGATTGTGGCTGGACAAGAAGCATTATTAGGAAAAAAAGTATTGCCGTTGTGCCACAGAGAATGTATGCCAATATGCATGAAAGTGACAGAAGCTACGCAAGAGATTTGTGAAGGGGCATGCCAAGCTGGTTGTGTCCAGCTTCAAGGTCGAGGAACCGGACTTTCAGCCACTGATCAAGGAGTCGATATGGTCATTGCATAGAGAAATATTTGATATGTTTTTTTCACCGGGGAAAAGAAAGTTTTTGTATTACCATATTGTAGTTGTCTTTTATATGTAACAGATTGTAAAACTGGGTCATCTCTTAAACACCCATATGTAAATGTGGACATGATTAGTATCATCCACTCTCTGCTGAAAACAACTTTGATGTTTTAGAGAATATATACAACATTTTCAATTTTATAAAGAATCAATTATATATATTTCATGAGGACGAAGAAGGAGAATGTCTTCCCTATCTCATGAATCTTATTATTATCTTTTGATATGGAATACCGTGAATGTTTATACCTGCGCTGATGTTAGTTGTTAAAAAAAAATTACTACATGGTAATTTTAAGAGAAATCAGTGTCGACTCAAAATTTTCCGGGGGTCTGGACAAAAATAACAACTATATTTTTTTAGTAATTTTGATATAGTTTACTTTCGTTTTGAAAATTTAAATTCTTAATATCATCATGGTCTTGGAATGATCGGAACACACTGATAATCATCCTCGAAATTTAAAAGATCATAAATATTTCAATAATAATCATAAATTTTTCTTTTATATAATTTTTTTTTGTTAAAGGATTTTTCCATTTTCTAATATAATTTGAAGACAATAATGTATGTCAAACTTTTTTGAAAAAAAAACTAAGGACCAAATACCATCACCGCCCCTAGAATGATAAATGTAAGCAAAGAAAAGGTCTCACTTCAGATTTTTTGATACATTAAATTGAAGTTATAAAGAAAAATATTATGAATAATTTGCATGGAATAAAACAAACACGTACATATCCCGCTAAATTTCATTTTTACGAAAATTTTTGAGTTATGTTTCGTCAAAATCAAGAGGACAAGTGGAAAAACGCGACAACAAGACATGCATAAATAATTCAGATCCATTCATACGAAAAACACTCTAAAGAGAGAATTCGTCAACCCAACTTTGGTAAAGAAACATCACAAATAATTAGACATTATTGTTTACAAAAAAAACATGTCGTCCACTAAAATCCAGTTACGAGGGCAGCCACTTCCTAGAGTTCCGGCAAGAAACCACCATATGATAAACTCTGTTGTTTGTGGAGTTCACATAGGAAGTCACCACCGTGTAATCAACGTACTCAGCCATACGAGTGGTCCATCTTTTGGCTCTGTGACTTCTGTCTCAGTACGAACCGACGAGAGACCGTTTCTTCGTGGCGACGGTAATGGTTGATTCGGGAGGTTCGGTGGAAAGTTTGTACCGGAGACATTGATGTTTCGCCTGAGAGATCTTGAAGACGAATTAGATTTTGTTTTGAGTGATCATGAATTTCAGGTTGACTTTTCTTATATGTTTGATTAAAGCTTAACTCAACCTCACCCCACCTAAAAATACAAAAAAAAAACTAAAAAATGGTATCAAATGGTAAAATTGAAATTACCCCACTAAAGCTCCCTGTTTGGCACTGTGTAGTACTGTCCTTATCAAACTTTCCAGAAGAAAAAAACAGTACGGGCAAAACCTCTACTAACATAATAGTCGACATAATTTCCCATTTAAAATAAATATACGATACTAATTTCTATTTGGTATAAATATAATACAATATTTTACCTTTAACATGATAATTAATCTATGCAATGTTTTTTCTTATGTACCCTTTTAATTAATTGTTACCAGGCGGAGCTTACCACAGCGTTAAGAGACTACGTAGGAAGAGAAACGCCTCTTTACTTCGCAGGACGTTTAACCGAACACTACAAGAACATAGCTCGAACCACGGGAGATGGACCCGAGATCTACCTGAAAAGGGAGGATCTAGGCCATAGTGGGTCTCACAAAATGAACAATGCTCTCGCTCAAGCAATGATTGCCCAGCGGTTTGGTTGCAGCCGTGTGGTAGCGGCCACAGGAGCCGGCCAACATGGGGTGGCCACCGCGGCTGCTTGTGCAAAGCTCTCCTTGGAGTGTACTATTTTCATGGGAACCACTGATATAGAGAAACTATCCGCTAATGTACTTTCCATGAAACTGCTTGGTGCTCAGGTAAAACTAGTAATTACTATATAACTAGACTAATAACCTAGCCAAACTTATAGTTTGTTTAAAATATATTTTTTTCCTATTTTGAGTTCACTCTTATTCTCTAATATAAATTTTATATTATTATTTTTTGACAACTATTATTATTATTATTATTTATGAGCCTTTATTAGTATTTAACATATAAAAACGTCACCAGACCAAGTATTTTGAAAAAGTACAGTCTAGCAAGAAATTTTGTTGTAATTAACAATAAAATTATAAAAATCACCAAAAGTTATATAAAATAACACTACTTTCTATTTCTAAACATATAATTTTGCTATAAATAAGTTTCACAATACAACAAAATATTTATCTACGGAACATAAACTTCGTTAATTTATATACTAATTTAAATAGGTGACATCAGTAAAAGGAACATTTCAGGATGCGAGTTCAGAGGCGATTCGAAATTGAGTAGGAAACCTAGAAACCACCTACTACTTATCCGGGACGGTGGTAGGACCGCACCCGATTCCGGTGATGGTACGCGAGTTTCAGTCCGTGATTGGGAAAGAGACGAGAAGACAAGCAAACCAACTATGGGGTGGTAAGCCTGATGTATTGGTGGCTTGTGTGGGGAGTGGCTCAAATGCATTGGGATTGTTCCATGAGTTTGTTGGGGATGAGGAAGTGCGGCTAGTAGGAGTGGAGGCCGCGGGACTGGGTCTGGATTCAGGGAAACATTCAGCTACTTTGTCCGTTGGAGATGTTGGTGTGTACCATGGCTCTATGAGTTATTTATTGCAAGATGATCAAGGACAGATACTTAGACCCCACTCGATAGGAGTAGGGTAAGTGTGGACTTATGTCCTCAATACATAAATATGTTTTTAAACAGCTGGTCAAACTATAGTCATGGAGTTAATTAGCATGACTTAGTGATAATGAAAGTTATAAAAATAATCTTTTAAGAAAGATGAACTTATATGAATAGGTCAAGTAATTATAAATTCCTTAACTCTATAGGTAAATTAATTGATAGTCAAAGCATGACACAGATAGCATGCAAATCTAATTGTTAGCACGTCTGTCTTTAGAATCACATATGTAGTCATTGAGGTTGATGCATACATTATTAGTTATACAATAGTATGTGAAAATCTTCTACTATATATAGGCTATCACTAGCACTTGTACTGATAACTTTTTAAAACGTTACTTGCACGTCTATCATAAAATTGTTTTTACACATTTATCACATGCAAGTCACCTATCGTGATAGGTATGAACCGTTCTGGTTTAAAAGTTTTATTTTCTTGGCCGGATCGAAGATCCAAAACTGAGTTTAATCTACAGTTGAATATCCAATATTTATTTTGTTATAGTTTTGGATGACCAAGTTAATATTATAAACCAAAGAGAGGACGTTATGTGAAGTACTAATTAAGCTTAATATATGCTTGATTTGTCGTAGGTTAGAGTATCCAGGAGTTGGCCCGGAGATTAGCTTTCTGAAAGAAACCGGAAGAGTCGAATTCTACACAGCAACAGACAAAGAAGCCATTCACGGTATCTCTCTATTGACGTTACTTACTAATTACTACTTACTGTTATTTTCTTTTATAATTCTAACAAGATTTTGCATTCACTTAAAACAATAGAAGTATCTCTCTATTGACGTTACTTACTAATTACTACTTACTACTTACTGTTATTTTCTTTACAATTCTAACAAGATTTTGCATTCACTTAAAACAATCTTCTATCTAGCGTGCATGCTATTGAGCAGATTGGAGGGAATAATCCCAGCACTCGAAGCATCTCACGCGCTCGCGTTCCTAGACAAACTTGTTCCTACTCTGCACGATGGTGCCAAAGTGGTCGTAAATTGCAGTGGGCGTGGCGACAAAGATATAGATGCCCTTATCTAAAGAGGCATGTCATCACCTCATTGTTGAGTCACCAAGATGTCACATTACACTCGACTCTTGTAGAAATCGTATAGATGCAATTTTAACCAACATTATGGATGAAATATTAATAAATCAACTATTATATATTATATTGGAAAGGATCCCTAGTTCGAATGAAAGCTGAGACGAAATTAATATTACATTACGTGGTTTCAAGCCTGGAAAGATTACAAGTTTCGACAACAAGAACTACTAGTGACCTAATTAATTTACTCAACCTATAAATTTCTTAACAGATCCATTTCAGGGGGTTCCATTAGAACCATCATGTTATAAGATCTATAGTTATAATAAAAAGATACAGAAGCATGTTTTAGTGATAGTTAAACATGTTAACCAACAAACCACATTTTTTACCTTAGTATAGAACTATCCCATGAATCTATACATTTCTAGATAACTACCTCTGTTTTTTTTGCCTTCTAATTACGGTTGTGGTTATATAGGCATTGAGAGAATGAAATGAAAGGGATTTAGAGATCCAAAGGAGGCTGAGGAGTTTACTGTTGCAAAGCCTATTCAAGGAAGACTATATCTGAAGCCGACTGGAGTTTAGCAAAAAGAAACAGAGCATGTCATAGTTCAGACCAGTGGCGGAGGCAGTGCATTAGCACATGGGTCACTTGACCCACATGGTTTTTTAGGAGCAAAAAAAATTTGCTTGTATTTTGAAGAAAAAACTGAAAAAGTTCACAAATTTAACTCATTGACCCATGTAAAATAAATGTTTATAGGGAAGTTGACCCCTCTAAATGATTCGGCTGGCTCCGCCATTGGTTCAGACCGCTCTGATTCTCAAAGTTACAAGGTTAGTTTGATAATAAATCTTCATGTGATAGATCATATTGAATATTCTTAAGACTCTCTAAGATATTCTTTAAATTTCTAAAATAAATTAATCACATACTTTTAGCATCAAACACAAAATTAAAAAGGACAAGTGAGGTCAAATACATATGTATTATTTTGTATTCATTCAAACCGAATAGAATGATATGTTGTAAATATACATCGACCTAATTTTTATGGTTTTGTTGAATTTTAAAATTTGGTTTGGTATTAGATCTAATTTCCTAAGGTAAACCAACATTTAAATCAAGTGATGAGGGCAATATGCACTAATTGCAAATGTAAGATTATCTCTATATCATTTTAAGGGAAAACATAAAAAATTACGATAAACCTTCTCCACTAGTGTATCATTTTGAGGGAAAAAATGAGTTTGTAAATAGTATTTCATCAAAATTGAGGAAATATTATTCACATACTATTTTTTTCTCAACATAATGCACCATTAGAAAAGATTTTTCCTTATTTTTTTATGTTTCCCTCATTTTATGTTAAGTTTTTTAGTTATAAATTAATTTTTAAACTTTTGTAGAAGTTTTTATATCTAAAAAATCAGTATTTATTTATACTTTTTAATAAATTATTAATATTTTCATAATAAGTTAGAACCCTTGTATATTTTTTTTTAGAAATTAAACTTATGTACATAATGAAGATTTAATCAAAATAAAATTATACTTTAGTAAAATTTGTAAGTTTATAAATAATATTTATTATTTTTGAATTAATAATAAATAGTAATAACATGATATATTTGAAAGCATTTTTGTGGAGAAAAAGGAGAAGAACCACTTGAATTTAACATAAACTCATTTTAAGCCTATATTATTTTAATAGAAAAAATAATGTAAATCATTGGACATGAGTAATTAGGTTTTTGTCAAATCAGCAATATAGCGATATATGGGCATTTTTGTAGGTTGTCCTTGCGGAGAGAACAAAGAACAAGTAGAAAAAATATAACCTTCCACTGTTACAAAAAAAAAATATATATATAACCTTCCTTTTCTTATATTACTACGTGGAAATAGAACATTGGTTCAGCTATGCGTAAAAAAGAAAAAAAATGGAGCATTTAAAAAGAAAGGTCAGAGTAAGCTAGCTATGATAAATACCATGTTTTTCTTACGAGAAAAATGGTTGATACATCAAAATACATGAGATCAGAGATCCCGTCCAAGATCAAAATCTTTTCAAAAAGAAGATGTGTGGTCATGATAAAATGTTAGGATATATCTGATTATGTTATAGATCCATTTGTATATTAATTCTTCTAGAAAAACTCTCGAAGAACATGTGAATTGAGTGAGCAAATAAAAAGCAAACCAGTACGAATATCTGAGTGAACATGTGTCGGTCCAGACTCCAGAGTCATACAGCTCGTCAGAAGTTATTTTGGAAAATCACAATAATCTTCACTCTATCTCGAACTTCTATTTATTAGTATTTCTTATGACAAAAATCCTAAACCAAGGTTCATACATCAACTGGCCAGGCCTGGAACCGAACAAAAATTTGGTTCCGTTCTAAATACCATTCAGTTATATGATCTGTAGGCTTCGTCTATTTAATCTAATTAAGGACAGTACTTGGTATCCATTGGATATTTAACTCACTAAACAAATGAGATTTAACTATATTGTTGAATTAAAAAAAAAATTGTTAAGAAGCCACTGAATTCAATAAATATATAACGATATGTTCAAGTCTCTTAAATAACTTTTTGGGTCTCAAAACTAATATTCATTAATAGGAATATAAATATGTTGTTATTTACAGTTTTACTTACTAATTTATTAAAAAATATAAATAAATAGTAAAATATGAAAAAATAAAATCAAAATATGTTTTTCAAAATATTTATTCCTCAAATTCGAGAATACCTTCATAAACGTGTAACTAAACTTTTTAAATGTAACTTGAATGTATGTTTAGAAACGAAATTCTAAATATGTATGACATCTTTATGAATTTTGCTTATATGCATATTTAGAAAAAAAATTATTGAATATACAACCTTCTATATAATTTATGAAGATATTTTTAAATATGTATAATACCTTTAGAGTATATATCAAATTCAGGGAAGTATTTTTATCACTTTAGGAAGATGTTCTATGTATTCAAGATATATTACTAATTAAGTAAACATATTAGTCAAAATCAATAAGGAATTCACAAATATATATATACATATATATATATATATATAATTATGAAGGTTTTACTAATTAAATATACATTGAAATGTATTATTAACTACAAATTTATGAAAGTTTTCTTACATTTTATGAAGATATTATACATATCTTATATATTAAAACAGAAGTCATGACTTTACTTCATGTGTGATTTTTTTAAAAATGGACTATTACTAGAAAGTCATTACATTAACTCTCTAATAATCTTATCATTATTATATCTTATGAAAAATCATATCTATAATAACAAAGATACGCTTAACAATCTGGTTTTGGTAAACTACCTCACACTTTCCAATTTTGTCACGCAAAATATGTCAATAAACATAAGTTTAAGAATCTTCTATTATTTATAAGGAAATATGTCAATAATAGTTAAATGCATCCACAATATATTAACAAAAATCACAGATTCGTAATATGGAATATTTATATACCCTAACAAAATTTACACGCTATATATACTAGATAAATTTATTTCTATGTAAATTTTTAAAATTATATTATTTTAAAAAAAGAAATTGTTTAAAAAAATCTTTTTTTTAATAAAATTCTTTATAATATTAATTTATGAAGCTATAAGTTTAGTTTTTAGCAAAAATTTCTTCGAAATTTATATTATCTTTGCAAATTAAAGTATACTAATATTTAATCAATCTCTATTTATATTATTTTATCTAAAAATGAAAGATTAATCTAACAAACAATAAAATATAGAAGAAGAAACAAACACATGTTTGAAAAACATATCATATAATATTATTCTATTTGAAAAACATTTACTATACATATCGTAAATATGTGATTACTATAATATATACCAATCTACAAGTGAAAACAAAATATTTATATAACTAACTATAAATGAAAACAAACACCCGCGCGGTTGCGCGGGTCAAAATCTAGTTTATCATTATTTTCCTAAATTTTTGAAGATACTATACATACTCAATAATGTTTTTCTAAAAATGTATATAAAGTAAATTCATAAATATATCATACTCATTTGTGGAAATCTTAGAAAACACTTTTTTAGAATAACTGTTTCTCAAATTTTTCTTTCAAAAATATTAAAAAATAATTTATTTTTTAATTTTATATATAGAATGAATATAATTATCATTTACCCCTTTAATAAATTTAAATTTGATCTTTTAATTTTATGAACTAGTTTAGGAACAAAAACATGTTTTGAATTATTTGAGGCTATTTCTCTAATGATGTAGCTTTCTGTCATATCATGTACATGTAAATATCTACGAGTTTATCTTAGCTCTGATTGGTAAACAATATAAAGGTAAAAAGATAGAAAAAGTGGAATAAACTTGTGTAAATCCATCTCTTTTATGTAGAAGGAAGTTTTAAGTGAAGAAAACACTTGGTAACAAATAAGTTATATTATAATTAAGCTAGAACCACAATAAATTATTTACTCTTTAACTTATTTATATGTCGACTTTAGGTTTTCACACAACCACATCATGTTGTAATTTTTTGAGATATAGATGATCTCTTTTTTTCATTAAAATGATAAACCTCTAAATTATGTTTTAGTTGGAAGAAAGGCTTTTAATTTTTCAATATTTATAATTTTTAATTTATAAACTGCTAACATTCGTCACTATTTGTTTAGAATTTTGTCTATTTTTTTACTGAAAACATCTAAAATGAAATGTAATGTGTTACTTGAGGGATTTTATCACTAAACTATGTGAATGTTAGACTTTGTTTACATTGCATTTTAATACTTTTACAATTTTACACTTGTATTACAAAATTGATTTTTTTTATTTACAAAGGAAAAATTAGAGTAAGATCACCTAAGACATAATTGAGAATAACTATATAACGTTAACTATTTAAATTTTGAAAAAATGTCTTAGACAATCATATGTTATTTCGTTTGTATAGTTTTGTAAGGTAACGGTGTTACTGAAAAACTTAAACCGTTAATTTTTCTTTTATGTGGAAATATAAACAAATAAATTAATGACTTGTTTTTTAAGCATCGGTACCTAAACTGCATAGTAATTATACTGAAAGACAAATATTTTTTTTAATATGAAATGGGTATTAGAAAATAGTAATTTAAGCAATTTCTTTTATTTCAAACATAAAGCGGTTATTTATATATAACTTATTAACGTCTAACATCTAACATATATTGGAAAAGGTTTTAAAAAATTCATGGTGCCTTCTTAACTAATCCAGTTTACCTTTTTAACATAAACCATCCCATTCTAAATGTGACAAATCAGAAACATTTGAGAAAAACATAGAATAGATCCAGTTACAAAAAAAAAACCTAGTATAGATATATAGGAGTTTTTTATGTCAGCATCATGCATCACTATTTGACGTGGAAAAAAAAGTCTAAAGACTTATCTTCGAGGACTATGGGGGCTCAAGAACATGAATTTACAACCTCTTATTTTTCTTATATGAGAAGATGCTGGTCTACGTCGTTTTCTTGGTTTTACGGTTACGTCTTTAGATAGAAAACAATAAACTATTTTTATACAGAAGAATTGGGTATATCGATTTGAGTGTATACCCTTTTTAGCATCCGTAATTTTGATTTTAGTTTACTCTTTGCCTAAACATTTTTGTCGCAGCCATTATGGATTCCGTCCAGACAATCTGGTGAGGGCAGACACGACTCATCGGCTCAGAAAGATAGACGGAACCCCTATGCCTTTTGACTAGCTTGGCTTAAAAATATATTGTGTCAAAATGAAATTGGTGTAAATCCGGACGAATAAAAGATAAACTTTAGACGAAATAGGACATAATAGATTCTATTTTATTCTGTCTGATTTTGTCTAAATTTTTCAATAGATATTAAGGTGAATATCATCTGTCTTAGGTTTCTTTTATGAAAACTTGTGAATGATAAAACAAGCCTTTAGACCCTTATATAAGTTTTAAATAACCCTGATTCGAATAGGAAACCTAAAACAAATTTATTTCTTAGAAGTGTTCCTTCGGAATCACTTATCTGTTTTCCAAAATGAAGGGGACAGGGTGTGGAAAAGATTATAACAACATGTTAAATGTGCATATATTCAGATGGATGCATAAAAACACATTCCCCTACACTATAAAAAAGAACTCGCCAATACAAATGTTTTACAAAAGTCACAAATAATTAAACATCACTGTTTAATTTCCAAAAAAATCTCTTATAATTTCCAAAAGAAAAATGTCGTCGACTAGAACCCAAGTACGAGGGGAGCCACTTCCTAGGGTTCCGGCAAGATACCATCGTATGATAAACTTTTTTGTTTGTGGAGTTCCCATCAAAACTCACCACCGTGTAAGCAATGTACTCCGTACGAGTGGTTCATCGTTGGGTTCTGTCCCAACAAGAACCGAGGAAAGCCAGTTTCTTCGTGGTGACGTTAACGGCAGATTCGGGAGGTTCGGTGGAAAGTTTGTACCGGAGACATTGATGTCTCCTCTGAGAGATCTTGAAGACGTATTTAATTTTGTTTTGAGCGATCGTGAATTTCAGGTTTGCCTTTCCCATGCAGTTATTGATTAATTAAGCTAATCTCAAACCATATATATATTAATGTAACTCGGAAACTCTATTTAATTAAAGATCAATGTTTTGCAATGATAAATGGCTAATAGTTTTGCACATACTGCAAACAGTAGTACTGGAATCGATCGAAAATTATACAAGTCATACTCCACGCTGAGGATCGTATAAATATTGATTAGAGATTTCTGTCAACTACCAAAGACAACTAGATTGTTAACGGTTCAAAAACGCGGAATTCTTATGAATTTTTTTTAATATAATAAAAAAAATATTTAATTATATTTTTATTTGTTTTGTATTATTTATTTTGTTAATAAACATGTTTAATTTTCTTTGGAATAAAATTATTTGATTTTTAATATAATATATAAGATCAATTTTTTTGATTTTTATAACTTCTTTTAATATAAAATAAATTTAAATAAAATTTATTAAAAGAAAAATAAAATTTGTCTATTTAATTTGTTTCTCACTAGCTTTTGTTTTTTGCATGATTCATAACTGATATGAGTTAATCCATAATTTTAGTCTTCATCAGGTTGAGGAAATATTATTTAACATTTTTATAATGAACATAAGATAATAATTTATAGCTTTTCAAATATTGGTCTAAATATTTTGTATGTTTAACGGAAAAACTTGCAATCGTAAAACATCTACTATGATTTGATCTACCACATAATCAAAAGAACGTAGGTTTTGTCAAGATGAAAGGAAGCTGATTTATTTTTAATAGTGTTACTTTTAAAGTTCATTTTATAAATTTTGAAATCTTATCATTTATTTCATAATAATTTAAATATTTTTAAAATATTTACTTTCTATAAAAGTAATTTTATATGAATAACATAATTATGTGTCAATTTATTGCATACTTTGTTAAATGTAATTTTATAAACTATAAAACAATTAGTGTGCTAGTTTATTTAATTTATTATTAAGTTTCATAATATATTTATACTTTTGGAATATAAAAAGATATTAATAGATGTATATTATTTTGGTTTTAATTAATATTAAAATTTAATAGAAATGTAAGTTCTAAATCATATTTTAATATTTTTATAAATTTATTTAATAATTTAAAAATAGAGAATAAAAATTATTATATAAGATTTTGTCATAAAAATTAAATATAAATTTATAAACTTGATACAACTTTTCAATTTTATCTTCAAATAGTGACAATAATCATAAATACTCTAACTGATTAAAAGACTAAACTAACCTTCATAAATCATTTATAAATGTTTAACAATTATAAGGTTATAAACTTAATTTCATTGTATAAAGACTAAATCCTAAACAATAATCACTAAACCATATCCAACTATCATTACATTTTTTTATTGAAATTATTTTTGAAAATAGTATTCATTAATGGTATTTTTAAAATTTAGTAATTTATTTCTAATTAAATAAAGAGATTATATTATTACCACACATAGTACATCACGTGAAATTTAGTTTCATAGTACATCACGTGAAATTTAGTTTCATATAATGCATAATTTAAATAACCTAAATACATTAAGTGATTTTTTAACACCTGAAATCATAGATTTTTCTCAAAAAAAAAAACACCTGAAATCGTACATTGTTTGTAGATCCGAAATCAGCTGCCATTTATCCAAGAACATGAAAGGACTGGAAACCAAAGAGCAAGTTTAATGGAGGTTGCTTAGAAAATTGCTTAGGAGGATAGGAATGCGAGAGAGAGTGTGAAAAATGCTTAATTAAGCACTCTCTCCATTAAACATGCTCTTACAATTGGCGCCACTTAATAGTATTGTCATTGTCAAAGACTAGAAAAAGTACATACCGACACATTTCCTCCTTGTCACTGCATGGCCAGCTCCCATTATGTGACCGGGCAGTGTGTACGAGGCCCAATGTGTCTTTCACCGAATTTCTCAAAAATCTATATAATACCGGGGAGTATAAAACATTCATAAAATGATACCTTAATTTCTCAAAATTTGAGAACTCTTTAAGTCTCATGTATGAAATGATGTGTCGGCCATTAACTAAAAAGACAACATATTTATGCATGTAAAACAATTATTCCAAATTTACTATTTTATTTTATATAAATGCAAACAATATTTATATAATTTGAATATAGAAAATTATTATTATTTGATAAAATATAAATTTTATTAAATAAAAAGATTATAGTATATTAAATTCAAATATCTGTCAAATCATGTCGAAAATTATATCAAAAAGTAAAAGTGTTTAATTTTTGAAGTCATTGTTGATGGTTTAATGATGCATTTCTATTTAACAAGACCATTTCACATGTTTTTAAATTAAACATGATAGTTAATCAATGCCATGTTTTCTTATGTATGCTTTTAATTGTGATTAGGAGGAGCTTACCACAGCGTTAAGAGAGTACGTAGGAAGAGAAACGCCTCTCTACTTCGCGGGACGTTTAACGGAACACTACAAGAACATATCTCAAACCACCGGAGGTGGACCCCAGATATACCTGAAAAGGGAAGATCTTAGTCACTGTGGGTCCCATAAGATCAACAATGCTCTCGGTCAAGCGATGATTGCTCGGCGGCTAGGTTGCAAGCGTGTGGTGGCAGCAACCGGAGCCGGTCAACATGGGGTCGCCACGGCGGCTGCTTGTGCAAAGCTCTCCTTGGAGTGTACTGTTTTCATGGGAACCACTGATATAGAGAAACAATCCTCTAATGTACTTTCCATGAAACTGCTTGGTGCTCAGGTAAAACTGGTAATTAATACTCCATATAATTAAACTTACCTAGCCCAAACTGGAGCCGGTCTTGCAACATGAACTCTGTTTATTTATCCAGAAAAAAAAAACATTATAGTTTGTTTAACAGATTTTTTTGGTCTGATATATATATATATATATATACTTTAAAAAAAATTGCTGAGTTGATGAAGAAAAATTGGTCCATTCCTTTCGAAATATGAACTTACTTATACAAAATCGAGCAAGAAATTTAATATCGGTAATTAACAAAAAAAAAAAATTAAACAACAAAATATTCACATAGACGGAAGTGGTTTTTTGGGGTCAAACTGAGCATAAAATTCGTTTATATCCTGATTTTAATAGGTGAAATCAGTGGAAGGAAGATTTAAAGATGCGAGTTCAGAGGCTATTCGAAATTGGGTTGGAAACCTAGAAACCACATACTACTTATCCGGGACTGTGGTGGGACCGCACCCGAGTCCGTTAATGGTACGCGAGTTTCAATCCGTGATAGGGAAAGAGACGAGAAGGCAAGCAAACCAACTATGGGGTGGTAAGCCTGATGTGTTGTTGGCTTGTGTGGGCAGTGGCTCAAACGCATTGGGATTGTTCCATGAATTTCTTGGGGATGAGGATGTGCGACTAGTCGGGATCGAGGCCGCTGGACTGGGTCTGGATTCAGGGAAACATTCAGCTACTTTGGCCGTTGGAGATGTTGGTGTGTACCATGGCTCCATGAGCTACTTATTGCAAGATGATCAAGGACAGATAGTTAAGCCACACTCCGTAGGAGTAGGGTAAGTGGTTAAATTATGTCCTATATGTTTTTTATACAGCTGCTCAAATCATTATCCAGGAGTTGAGTAGCACGATTATAGTGATAATGAATGTTTTAAAATAAAAACTAAACTTTAAGAAAGATGAACTAAATAAAAATCTGAGTATTTCTCAAAAAAAAAAAAAATCTGAGTATATTACACTTGTTACTTTCCTTTTAACTCTATAGATAAATTAATATATAGGCTTGTCATGGGTAGTTTAAATGCTGTTAAAAAAAGGGGTAGTAAATCTAACTTTTAGGCCGAGTCAATGTCTTTGGTATCACATCTTTACCATGTAATCATCAAGGTTGATGCTTATCAATATTAAAACAACATGTGAAACATTCTACTGGTATTTGTACTTTTGCATCTTTAACGTTACTTACACGTCTGTTTATCATAAAAAAGGTTTACACGTTTATCACATGCAATTCACCTCGTAATCGATTATGAACCGGTCCTTTTTTTCTACCTAGTTGGATAGATATCCAGAAGGACCAGAACCTATAGTTTATCTACAGTTTGGATAACCATTTTGGTTATAATTTTGGATTACCAAATTAATTATGTGAACCAAAGAGAAGTGCTACATATGCGAAATACTAAACCTCACATATGCCTGACTGGTTGCAGATTAGAGTATCCCGGAGTTGGACCAGAGATTAGCTTTCTGAAAGAAACTGGAAGAGCCGAGTTCTACACAGCAACGGACCAAGAAGCCATTCAAGGTACCTCTCTATTTAATTATGTTATACTTACTACTAATGCTCTCTTCCTCATTCTTATAAGAATTTTATTAGTTACTTAAATAATCTATTATTTTCACAATTGTAGCGTGCATGCTATTGAGCAGACTGGAGGGAATAATCCCAGCATTAGAACCGTCTCACGCGCTGGCGTTCCTCGACAAACTTGTTCCTACTCTACCTGACGGTGCCAAAGTGGTAGTGAATTGCAGTGGCCGTGGTGACAAAGATCTAAACACTCTCATACAACGAGGCGTGCTTTCTTCTCTTTGTTGACTCACCAAGATGCCACATATTATACTTGCGAGCGAATAGATGCAATCACAACCATCACTATGAATGAAATAATACAATACATCAAGCATTATCTATTATTTCGAACCAGTATCCTAATGTATTCAACTCCTAATAATATTTTATAAGTACTAGGTAAGGAATCTGTGTGATATCGCACGAAAACTCATTTTATGAAAATAAATATACCATACTATATAACTTCTATTTGTATAAAAATGTTGTTTGTTTTTATTTAACGAAGTCCTTGTAATATGTGTACAATGTAGATTACATATATATATTCATTTATAGATGCTACTAAAATTTTATATTAATTTTAAAATTTCAGATTATAATTCAGTTTAATATTTGAATACTAATTTAAATATATATTTATCTTATTATTATTTTGTAAGTTATTTGAAAATACATATGCAATATAATATATTTAAAACTAATTAAAAGAAGTAAACACATAAATTAATAAGTAAATTATAATGTTGAATATGACATTCATAAATAAATTATTTGAAACCATGTAAAAAATATGTGTAGTCAAAATGTGATAATATGGAAATATTACGAGATCTTCTCCAATAACATGATCTTTTTGGTAAATTACACATGTATTTTTTTCTCACTATTTGTATTTTTTATAAAAAAAAATTTCTATATCAGTGTTAGATGCAGCTATGAAATCTCTATTTTCTACAGAAATTTTAATAATTCAAAGATCAAAACTCTTTGATATTCATCATATATCAGTGATGGATGCAACTATGCATAAATACAAAAATTTCATATCTGTGAGTTTTTCCGATAAATGCTATTTGTACTTAATTTTAGTTAGTTTAGTGATTATTTAAGATATCTAACTACATTAAAAACTAATACTAATGTATCCAAAATATATTTTCATGGTACATGGATATCAAATATAATGTTTTAACAAATTATTTAATAAAATTTCATGTACCATGTAAATAAAAAACTAACTCTATGAGATCTCTATATTCTAGAGAAATTGGGGCAACAAAAGTTTTAGACATTCTTGATCTTCATTTTATATTTGTGCTGAATGCATCTATGCATTAAAAAAAATACCATATTTTCTATATTATGTTGAAATCGGTGGGTTAATCCATACAAAAGATCAAATTTTTCGATAAATGCTGAAGTTTAAGCTCTTTCATGTTGATTAAAAAACACCTAATCACATTATACATTTTATTAATGTATGTTAAAATATATAATATTTTATTTAGATGGAATTCATGACTTTTGACATTTGAGATTACTGTTATTAATAGATTTTTTTTTGTGCAAACTGTTATTAATAGATATGATCCATAATTAAATGAAATAGATCCATAACTATGATTGTATATTTAAATGGAAACGAAAAAACGATCGTTAATTCACCAAATTTTCAGTCATCTTTAGTAGATTTGATGCTCGTAATACAGGCTATATATGTTTTATTGATAGTTAATATATCATGACTACCAACAAAACATGTTTCTCAGTAGTGTTAAACTATACAATGGATTAGACTGAACATTTCAACGAAATGTGTACTGTTGCCAAAGTACTAGCTATATAACCTTTAGAGAAAAACATATGTATTGAATGTCGTCTTCGTTCAACAATATAAGTCGGTGAATTTTCCCCGGGGTGAATAAATTGTTAATTTTGGAAACGTACCCAGTGCCACGTACCTACGGACTGCAAACATTAATTTTGATATTGTAGGCTAGCTACATCTTTGAGAAATGAGAGATAAAAAGTACATGTAGAAAATGAAAACAAAATAAAAATAGATACGGATATTGACCCAATAATGACATTAACACTTGGCCAACTAACTTCTACCTGTCTCCGTTAATTCAACAGAGAGTAATCAAGACCCAGAGACCACGGTCTTCTAACACAAGGACCAACTCATTATCATATACGATTTTACGAATACTGAAATCGCGTTTCAACTATTTTATTATATTTGTTAACAATTGGTGAAGCTTTAGTAATTATAGGATCCTATATCAACACGATGGAGGCTTGCAAATAAGATATATATTAATCGGTCCTGCCAGTTAATGTTGCCGAAGAAAATTTCGCAGACTAGTGTGCCCCCTATCATACCTATCATTATAGAAAATATAACTTTATTAGATCAATAATACTGTCATACACTCCTCTACTATCAACTAATCATTTGTCAGGCTAAAACATAAATTTCAAATTTGAACCATCATATATCACTTATGCACAATGAGAAGTAAATGCACACAGATGGTTGGTGAAACCAATAACTCGTTATGTTCATGTGGTTGATCCTTTCATCACACATACATTGTATGCTTTCTCTATATAAGAACCATAAAACTTGCCCTAAACTAGCTCCATCTATAAGTTTTCTCATTTATCTCCATCTCTCTCAATATCTTTCAAATAGTAAACAAATATGGATATTACTGATGTTATCATATTCTTGTTTGCTCTCTATTTCATCAACCTATGGTGGCGTCGTTACTCCTCCACCAGAGGCAGCCACTGTCACCTCAACATCCCGCCGGGACCAAAAGGATGGCCACTAGTCGGAAACCTACTCCAAGTCATATCTCAACGTCGCCATTTCGTCTTCTTAATGCGTGACTTACGTAAAAAATATGGTCCAATATTCACCATGCAGATGGGTCAACGTACAATGATTATCGTCACGGACGAAAAACTCATCCACGAGGCCTTAGTCCAACGTGGCGCCACTTTCGCTTCCCGGCCTCCGGACTCGCCTATCCGGCTCATGTTTAGTGTCGGAAAATGCGCTATAAACTCAGCTGAGTACGGTTCTTTGTGGCGGACTCTAAGGAGGAACTTTGTGACTGAGCTCGTGACCCCGACGAGAGTGAAACAATGCTCGTGGATAAGAACATGGGCCATGGAGAATCATATGAAGAGGATTCTAAAGGAGAGTGTTGAGAAAGGTTACGTTGAAGTTATGAGCCAATGTAGGCTAACGATATGTAGCATCTTGATATGTCTTTGTTTCGGAGCCAAGATCAGCGAGGAGAAGATCAAGAACATAGAGAATGTTCTTAAGGACGTTATGCTGATAACTTCTCCGACGTTACCTGATTTTTTACCGGTTTTTACTCATTTATTTCGTCGACAAGTTAGAGAGGCGAGAGAGCTAAGGAAGACGCAGCTCGAGTGTCTCGTGCCATTGATAAAAAACCGTCGTGCATTTGTTGACGCAAAAGAGAGTCCTAACGAAGAGATGGTGAGTCCTATTGGTGCAGCTTACGTGGATTCTCTGTTTGCTTTGAAGCTTGTTGAGAGAGGCGGTGAGCTTAGAGATGAAGAGATTGTGACTCTATGTTCGGAGATTGTCTCGGCGGGTACGGACACGAGCGCTACTACTCTTGAGTGGGCGTTACTTCATCTAGTAACGGACCAAAACATACAAGAGAAGTTGTACGAGGAAGTTGTCGGAGTTGTGGGTAAAAACGGCGTCGTTGAAGAGGATGACGTGGCGAAAATGCCTTACTTGGAAGCTATAGTGAAAGAGACTCTCCGGAGACATCCTCCGGGACATTTTCTCCTCTCTCACGCCGCCGTTAAAGATACTGAGCTTGGCGGGTATGATATACCGTCAGGGGCATATGTGGAGTTTTACACTGCATGGGTTACTGAGAACCCGGAGATTTGGTCGGATCCGGGTAAGTTTCGACCCGAGAGGTTTTTAGCTGGTGGGGACGGTGTTAATGCTGACTGGACGGGGACACGTGGCGTGACAATGTTGCCTTTTGGTGCTGGTCGTCGGATCTGCCCGGCTTGGTCTTTAGGGATTCTACACATCAACTTGATGCTTGCTAGGATGATCCATTCGTTTAAATGGATCTCCGTTCCGGATTCTCCACCCGACCCGACCGAGACCTACGCGTTTACGGTCGTAATGAAGAATTCTCTCAAAGCTCAGATACTATCAAGGGACTGATGGATAAATTAGTGTACTGGTAACGTCGCGTCGGGCTTGTGATATGTTATGCTTTTGTATGCATCATTAATTTTATCTAGTATATTATTATAGCTTGTTTTTTTATGGTTTTAATAATTATTCTAATGTAGTTTTGCTTCTGCTATGTAATGTTAAAAATACGACGTTATAACTATATGCATTATTGGTCATGTGTTCGTAGGTATTATCGTTCGTTAATCACGTGAAAATCTAATGCCATTGGAATGTATCACTTTTATTACCTCCGCAGATTTTGGAGTCACGGGTTGTAGATTTTTTGTTTATAAAAGTGATGTATATATTAAAGTGTGAGTAGTCTAGTCAAAAGAGAATTAATCATATTTAGATTCTATTTTCGAGTTATTCAGATATTAGCTTTCTTTTGGAATTTATTTAGAAATAGGTAAGCTGACGCTGACCTATCAAATTTAAATGAAATTGTCAGTCGTGAGGTGGTCAATTAAATTCCACCAAATTATGTTGGAGCTACCTGGTGGGTCAATAATGGAATGCACTTTAAGAAGCTATCATAATATTTTGTCGTCATATTGTGTTACATACATACTGAACTAGATATAAATATATATGTATATATTACTGTCGCTATTATATTCCTATTAGAAAATTTGTAATTGTGTATTCCCCACCAACAATTACAGTTATCAGTAGGAATGAAAGATAAATATACCATACTGTAGGTTGTTATTTGGTTATTTATATATAAGGAGATTAGTTTATATTTTAAAGACTGTTTATGTATATATAGTCTTATTTGATTAGAAAAACATTACATCAAGAAACTAATGGATCTAAACATGCAAAGTATGTATATGAAAATACGGTATCAAGAAACTTATCAAAACTTAAGTTTTCTGTGTTGGCCTTACTTAGAGTAATTATTGTTGTTACCCTAGCATGAATTTTTCTAACCTTCCAAGCCTGACATCGGGCCATCCGTTCATTAGATTTAGGTCAAATTATTTGAGAAATATAAAATTTTCTTTAGGGTCGAGTTAAAATCTTGATAGAACCAAAGATAATATCATACATGTTCGACGAACTTACACAGTTACACATTTATTGAATACAAAATTAGTTTACAAATGGTGTACGTATGGTTCATGTGAAAAAAAGATCATATATAAATATGCTGTGAAACAGCTCATATTAGCCGATGATTTATGAATCGTTACCCAATCGGACGGTTCTTATGGTCTTAACATAAAAAGGAAAAATTAAAAAAAATTAGGATCATGTTTAAACCGGGGTTTTGAACCCGACGTGAATCGAACACGCAACCTTCTGATCTGGAGTCAGACGCGCTACCATTGCGCCACGGATCCGATGGACATTAACCTTTTTATATGTAATATATCTTCCAGGTATCCTTCCACATCACATATCTCATGCTTATTTGATTAAAGCTTAAAAGTTAGAAACTATAGCACACTTATTGTATCCTGTTTGTTTCAAAGCAGTGGGGAGTCAAGAGGCTCTCTATCATCTTGAGGCCTGGAACTGATTGAATGCCCCATGCTTAGGTCAGTTTTAAAGTTCCATGTGCTGTCCTTTGTTAGCCCTTTCCTTCGGTTCAGCTCTGCTATGGTTTTCATTTATCTTTTCAATGCAACATTTTTTCCACTTCTCACAGTTTACTTTATCAGTTAATTTCTTATGCTTCTCTTCTTTTCTATTTCATTCAGTTCTTATTTTTCACTTGATTTAATTTATATAAGTACATCAAGTTCCTTTCTACTGCTTCCGTGAGTCTAGACTTTAGAAGTTCTTACATCATTTGCAATGTCAAGACTCTTGTAGCTTCTCTCGCCTCTTCCTCCCGTTTGTTTGGTCAATGGAAACTTTAGAAGATTTACTAAGCTTTTCTTCCCTTGACATTTGTTTATATCATTGGTTCTCCAGTCAACAGATCCGAGTCAGTATCCCTTATATATTAATCCTGAAGCATTCATAAATGCACAACCTTGGAGAGCATGCTTACGTGTCAAGCTCACAGAGCTTCTCAGCTTTAATTTTTTAATGAACCAACTTTGCTAGGAATGAAATAATGTAACATTTAATTTCTTACATTTAGGACTATAATATATAGACATTTTTTAAGGGACCAACTCTGCTAGGTATAAAAGAATATATTTTATTTGCTTAAATAAAAGCTACGGAATTACCTAATATGATTAACATATATATGTAATTAATGATTATAAATAATACATATTTTTGTATACTCTCTCTTTTTTTGTTTAATTTAAATTATTAAAATAAATTAAACAGTCGCATTTAAATATATAATAAAAAAATTAATTTTTTTCTTATAGGTTATATTTTTAATTTTTCAAACGACCATAAATAACTAAAAATAGTAAAGTCCCGCAATGAAAATTTTATGGTCAATGGTTTAACTTTGTTTTTTTTCCAAAGAAGATACAAATTGTCATAAATCGTACGAATATGAAGTATCATTAGTAGATATTCATACTATAAATATGTTAATTTAAAAATTTCAGTGAAAAGGTTTGAGGTTAGTAGATACAAATTATAGTATTCGAAAGATTTTTGTAGTTTGTTTTATTTACTTCTTTTTTTAATATCTTTTAGTTTGTTTAGATAATTTAACTAATTTTAAATTAGATTTATTAATAGTTTAAATATTTTGATTTTTTGTCAACTTTTAATGTTTAACAAATATTTTTGGGGATGATTACAGATATTAGTTACAATCCAATCCAAACTGAATTGAGAAGATCAAATCGAATCCATAATTAGTAAAATTCAAATAGGATTTATGAGAATAATACCAAAATCTGAAAATACGTGTCAATCAAACTAAAACCGACGAAGTCTCAAACGTCCGGACCTATGATGATTTAAGATACCAACATTTGTATTCATCATTTTATAATAGATAAATATTGTAGTATTGCAAAATGTTAAAAACCATTTAGTGAATAAATATTAGTATAAAAATTTCACCCCGCGCATTCGCGCGGGTTATCATCTAGTTATAGTATTATTACAGCGGGTATGGACAAGGTCAGGAGCATTATGGTACTCAATGCATATTAAGGAGGCTACCCTGGTGGGTATCAGTAGCCACCACAGCAACCGCTAAAGCAGCAACAAGTCGGATTCAGCTACTAGATGGTTTAAGAGTATTCTTAGCTTCATTGTTTGTTGTTTGCGTACTTTTGTCATGAAGTGTGTAGCCCAATCCCAAACACAGTTACTATCTTATTCTTTGACTCTTGAGAGTTAGAGAAACATTAATGGTATTTATAAGATTTTCATCACAACTCGAGGATTTGAAGCTTCCGTGATGATGTTTTCTTTTCCCGTGTTATCTCATATCTGACTAGGCAAGTTTTAATAGGACGTTTGGTACAAACTTGTGGTTTGCGGGGCATGAAGAGTCCTGAGAACGTGTGTTGCCTTGTGCTGGATGCACGTTTTTTCTTTGGGTTACGAAAAAAGAGAGATGATAAACTATAAAATGCAATGACCAATTGGACTTACTGATTTAGTCTCTCTTTAGTTATTCTTTTTATATTGCACTAGTTAACAACTCTTTTCATTGACTTGATCTTTAGTTAAGATGCTTACACATAATACTTTAATTTTCCATTGACATCTGAGGGTATAATTATATCTTATTGACTTAATTGCAGCATGATTCATTCCCAATGTCATGAGATTTTTTAAATTGTTAAGACAAGGCACACCTGGTCCAATTTTGCTTAGTTTTTTCACAGCTTCAGATGAGAAACTTGATTCAATTATTGGCTACATATATAATGTGTATATCTGTTATGGCTAGAGTTGTCATGAAACATGTGGATATGTGCTACATTGCGTTGAGTGTGCTACTCTACCAAAAAAATAAATAAATAAAGCAGATGATTTTGTATCGTGGTGTTCTGGTACTGGTATGAAATGTGACAACGTTTACTCTAAATGTGTTCCAAATCATTGATTCGTCCTTGGTTTTTTCACCTGTACAGACTAAGAGGTTCCCAACGATCAGATCTCAAGCTTGTAAATTGAAAGGAAAAAGTTTAAAAAGTCAAATCTTATAACTCTATAGTCTTAGGGGGTGTTAGTGGGACTAAAATTTATAATGATTCTCAGAATTTTAGAATCTAGTGTTATTGGTTTATAGATTGTTAGATTCTCATTAAAGTTTAGTGTTATTGGTTTGATGATTTAGTAACTCTATGCAGAATCCATTGTTATTCAAAAAGTTTAAATTTTAATGATTCTTTAAATCTATTAAAGTTGGTGTTATTAGGAGTTGTATTCTTCATCATTTAACTCATAACACAAGATTTTGAAAATACTATCTATATACTTTAGATTCTTAGAATCATTATATCAATTTATTTTCACAAACTTTTACAATATACAAAACTCTCTACAACTCTTTCAAATTTAACAAATCCATTAACTTTTAAAATCAACAAACTCTATATAAATATAACTCCCACTAACACCCCCTTATACTATATGACCTCATTTCAGAATATAAATTAGAATATTTTGGACGGCAAGCTCATAATTGAATCGTTATATGCTAAAATCACTTATAAATGACTTTGGTTTGTATAACAAAAATTAGCAATAATTAAAACGATCATATGGCCGATTAACTATACATTGTTAGCTGGGAGCTCATACGATTTTGTATAATTGATTATCTTAGCATATCTCATTATCATATAATTTGACTTTTAATTCTAAAACTACCTGTATGATTACGATTTTAATAAGAAACATATATAAACTTTGTAGAAAAACCACGTATACAAGTTACAAGTTAGTGCCATAGCATTGTTTCATGCAATGACTATAAATACTTTCTCAGTTCAACTTCCTCTCCTCAATTCGATATCTCTCTCCTACCTCTCTTCAGAATATTTCATCGTCAAAACTACTAGAAAGGATGAAAATGACCCTATTCAAAAGGCAATCCGATTACTCAAAGATAAACAAGGAAGACCCAGAAGAGCTACTACACCAGCGAGCCAAGTTCTTGATCTACAAAAAGCTTCAAGAAGCCGACTTGATATCTCGTCGTTCTCCTCCCACGTCGTTGTTGTTTCTACGGATGAAATTTTTCCGGGTGAAAGCAATGATCGGAAAAGAGTTGAGTAATTTACATCGCAGCATAGTATCTACCATTAGCTTTGGCGGGATTCGAAAGCACTCACAAGGCGGCTTTAGAGCGTTTAAGAAGATTTTCCACGGTGGTGCAACAACCGGATTATCTAGGCCTGTTTTCACTCTCCAAGTTTGATTTCTATTTATATTTTCTTGTTTTTTGTGATTTTCTATTGATCTCTATTACAAAAGTTTACCAAAGATGTAATATGAAGATATCATGAGTTTTGTTTCTTTCATTAAAGGGGAAAGAAAACTTAATATTGTAATAACCATCTGTTTATATGATTTTATGCAAAATTATATAATAAGATACGTATTTTGCAGATATTGCTTAATTTGGAGGGATTTTTAAGACTTTTATACTACTATGCAAACAAAGCATTTAAGTGAAAAAACACATGGATCACTCTGAGATATAGAAAAGTTAATTAGTCTAGCGTAAACATGTTTATGGCATCATTCTTTTTGGTTAAACGATGTATTATTGAAACAAATAATATGTTATGTTTTGGGAATTATGAGCAAATTCAATACCTATGGGTTTCGAAACATTTGGGCGCTTCTACTTTGCTGTTGAGTTCAAGGAGAGATATAGTATTGATGTGTATAAGAATACCAAGGCGTGTGTGTTAGGTTAAGGGCTTCGAGTGAGAAAGTGAAGAAGATTTTGAGCGTTAATGCTGAGGCTCCGTTGAATATAGAGTGTTAGATGGATGAGAAGGATGTGAAGAGTTTTATTAAGAGAGAAGAGTTTGAGAAGTTGTCATTAGGGTTGTTGGAGAGATTGAGTTCCGTGTCAAAAGGCTTTGGATGATTCTGGTTCTAATCTTTCTTCGGTTCTCGTATTACTTGCTTTTCAAGCTATCTTAACACTTCAAACTCTGTTCATTGATGATGGAACTTAAGTCGGGTTTTAACGGGTTGGGTCATGTATTATAACTGATGGGGAAAGGATCTTGAATGTGTTGCAGGACGTGCAAGAACATTGCGAAATCAAACTCTCCCCTCACTAAATCAGAGAATAACGGATCACATGGAAGTAGAAAATCAGATGATATGGAACTTGATTGAAGGCATAACAGTCTCACGGTTGTATCTCTCATGTTCGGTTTATTTTATTTTCTTTTCTGTCACCGGTTTGAAAATCTTATTCTCCCGGTTTGATTTTTCAGATTTTTTTTTCTTATTGTGAATCCTTTTTACCGCTAATCAACTTTACATAGTGTATAAAAAATTTTGTTTTTATTTTTGTGTCAACTTGTGGATTTTCTGAATTTCAATGTCTATATTTTTTTTTATTTCTGTGTCAATTTTACATAGTTTACAAGGTGAATATTTTAACCACTTTAATATCTGAATAACTTTTTCACATGTACCACGTTATTCGGGGAGTATATTAACTAGGTAATTACTTTAATATTTTGAGTAAGTAGTATCGATTCCAGTTATGTAATTAGGTAGTGTCTAGTGGAGTTATTTCTAGTTGTAGAAGATGGCAAAAAAATTCATTACAAATTTTTTAGGCCAAACACTAATTACAGTTAATTTATAATTTGGTTTTACAATGCATAACATCTCGTGCCCATGGAGGCATGGACCACTTTGTTATTTGGAGTTTAGCCGGTATGTATTAAAAACGGTGAGTGAACTGTCATTATATTTTGCTAATAATATTGTTAGACCAAAGTGTTGACTAATTTACAGCCGTCGCAGAAATTTCATTGCAAAGTATCAAGTGTTTTTTTTATAAGAAAAATTATATCAAGTAGTTGTTTGGCCTTGTTCTTTTTTTTTTTTTTTGACAGCAGTTGTTTGGCCTTGTTCAAGGAAAATAAATTTGTGTTTATTTTCTCTAAGAATATTCTCACATGATCTGGAGAATATACTAAAGATCATTAACAAGATGATTCACAGCAAAATATTAATATTTTGAGCGAGTAGTAGAAGTACAAACTACAGAGTACGAACGAGTTATGGAGCTATGGTTTGTCTCCAAAAGATAGAATCAGTTTAACAATGTAATATCCTTTCAAAAATCAATCAGTCACAAGCATTATTTTTAATTTTTTGTGCACAAATTTCATTAACTCAAATCTAAGGCTCTTCAAAGGTTACAACCGGAGGTATGCTCCACGGTAACGGTAAGATACGGTAATGGTAAGATGAACAACAATAACATAAAAACAACAAAATACTGTTTTGATATGAATAATTTAACATCATTTAAAATATATATATTCTCACATGCATTAAACTAGATTAGCCTAGTTATACCCCCAAAAAAGACAACGAACATAAAAGCAAGTGGGATTTGAGTAAATATTTGTGAAACTAATCTTCATTTTTTTGGTTATTTTTATACTTTAATTAACTGAAGAAATATTTGTAAACTAGGTGTTTTGCCCGCACTTGCGGGCTTAATAATTTTACTAATATCTATAAATAAATATATAATCAATTTATGTAAATTATAATAAATTATAGTTCATAGATGTAAAATATTTAATAATAAACTAAAAAAATTCTTTCTATATATAAAATTTTTCATCATCATATAAATAATTTTCATTACACAACTTATATTTGAAAATACTCATGAACTTAAAACATTTGATAATAAATTAATATCATTTTTAGACATAACAAAAAAGTATAAAAAATTATCTTTAATAATGTTTTAGATATAACAATATAAATTATCTATACATAAATTATTTGCGAATTTATTTTTCATAATTAACCATATATTAACAAAAAGAATTAGTTTTCAACGTTAATAAAGACTTTATAACACAATATAAAAACTTAGGTAAAGATAATTATCAAATTCATGAGATTCATTTTTTAATTTAGAATTAATTATATGTTAACAAATATATTTATTTTTCAAAATAAAGACTTTATCCCATAATATAAAAAATTAAAATAAGGATAATTATCAAATAAATGCAATTCATTTTTAATTTATAATTAATTATATATTAACTAATAAATTATTTTTCAAGGTTAGTAAAGACTTTATAACCCAATATAAAATAGTTTTAGATAAAGATAAATCTAAAATCATTGAAATTCGTTTTTATTTATGTTTAATTATATTAAAAATTTAATTATTCATTAAGGATATAAACGATATTAACCGCTCTAACTTTCAACGTGAAAGTTACAAATTAATCAACAAATTCATTTAAATTTTATAATTGAAAATATATTTTTAAGATAACAATCTAATACAAAAGGATTAACATATTTTCTAAAAAATAATATTATTAACATAAATTCGTTTTTATTATATAATAAATTATTAGAACATGAAAATAAGCAAAATAACCTAAAATCATGGAGAAGTTGACAACTAAGCAAATTTACTTCTCAAATAATGTTATAGATCGGATGATCGTAGACTCGATCATCTTACTTTTGTTGCTAGTGATGAGAACTCGCCATAATGTTTATTCTTAAATCTTAATGATAACAATAAGTTGAAGGGTGAGATCACAATATCAAATAGGCGTGCATCGGTGCATGCGTGAGCGTGAGTGAATCCGTATTACCCAAGTTTAGATGATTCCCAGTCTCTATCATCTGTTCAATTTTGTATCCCTCAAATCGTACGAGCTCGCGAATCTTATACGTATCCAACCAATAACATTTTGAAATTATCAAACGAGTTGGAATCTTTAGTTCTTTTATTCGTCAGAGTACGTCTCTGCATCACGAGACAAAACTAGCCGATTTAGTAGAAGATAGACTCAAGCATATAGTAATATTGACTGAGTCATGTCATGTACGAACAAAAACTATATTATATATAATTACGACTTACCATATAATCGATCCTTAAATTTATAGTGGCGATATAAGTAATATGCATGCATACAGCCTACCACTTTTTAATATGCGTGGCATGTGGATTATCCAGTCATCTTGTATCTTTCTGTTCATTTGTTCTTGTTTTTTTGGGTTCATCTGTAAATATAAAATTAAAAGGGGTTTGTTGACGAAAATTAAACAACAAGATGATAAGAGATGAGTCAGTTACCCAACCCTAACAAATTAAAAATTTTAACAACAAACAAGGATTTATGTTAGAAGAAGGTGTTTAACTGAATCTTTTTTTTCTTGTTTAACTGAATTTTTTTGGCAAGGTTTAATTGAATCTTTAATTAAACAACATCGCACCACCTATGTATGTCAGGAGTTGAAGATTGAAGAGTTGATTAAACAACAAGCGGACAAGGAGCATCGAGGAAAATTAGTGGGGCAAGCTCAAAACTCAAAAGCTATGTATATTATATATAGTGATATATATATATATATATATATATATATCACTATATATGTATTAATGTAAAACCGAACAAATAAAACTCTTAGGCCATCTGCATCAGCGAACTGCAGGGGTGGGGTTCATAAATAATACTTTTGATTATTTTATTTTTCTGTTTTCTGCTTTATTTTAAAAAAAAAAAAAAAAAAAAAAATTAGGAAACGAACCAATCACGGGCCGCCACGTGTCGTGGGGCCCGTGAAACAGTCACGATACGGGTTCACATGGGAGACCCTCTGCGAACCGAACTCATCACTTACAATTATTATATTCTTTTCTTTTTCTTGGGGATTGTGTGAACCTCTCCTAAAAGCTTCTAATGGGCATGCCCTTAGTATGAATGCATAAGCGATAGTTTCCACACGTTCTTCAGATTTTAGGGTGGGCTAACTAGTAACAAACGTAATGACATTTTAAAAACTATTAAAGAAAAATGAAACTTAAGCAAATCAAATCAAATCCAAATAATTAACAATAAACATTTGTTGACAAAATGGAATATAAACATTGATGAGCAAATCTTTTCAATAACTATTAAAACCAGGTTGACAAGTTCCAAACATTTTCAGTAGCTATCAGCCTATCAGAACCAAATTGACAAATTCAATGACGTTCGCTTTGAACATTCGCATGATGATATTCATTAATTTAGGAGCGTTCTTTTCTTCTTATGTCAGTGTCTTATGAGCGAACTTAGTTGACTAAAATGATAGTAGAAAAAAAAAAAGATTAGACATACATCATTATTTAAAGTTCGATATCACATCTTTCGTTAAACTTTAAATTTGGATGCAAAAATGCATCACACCACGAAAACACATTATACAGATTATTAAGTTGAGGATCCCTCTAGTTTTTATATTCTTACCATTGAGCATAGTTCTGGATATAATCGCTTAAACTTTTTCTCGATTAATATAATTGTTAGTGTGACAAAAAAAAAACAGATTATTAAGTCGACAGAGATATAAATGGACATCGAAACCGTGAACTTAATCATAGGTTTGGCAGGATTGCCAAGGAAAATGTTGTGTACCATAAAAGTAAAACCAATGTTTATACCAGTTGATTATTTCATACAAGAAACGTTTACAACAAATTCACTCTTCCACACAATACATCATTTCAACCTCATTTACTTCCTTTTAAAATGTACCTTGACTCTTTTCTCTTCACTCAAACCCCCTCAGAAAACTATCGATTTTCCAATTCATTCATCTCAACAGATTGGCAGATCTCTTGATTAACAAATGAGGTTTTTATCCTTTTAAACTCAATTTGGGGGAAAATTATAAGAAATAATATACTAAAATTGACCTCTACTCCCCCAAAATTGAAAAAAAATGTTTACTGCTTAAGAAGAGGCGTTTGGGTGTCTTCCCACTGGTCCAATCTTCTCGAAGCCTTCTCTACCTGAAATTATAAAATTTCATTCAGTAAGAAACATATACTAAGCCAAAGTTAGACATATAACTAACTGTTGTATTTAGGAAAACAAAAATGATATTTATTATTTAGGAATATACCTCTTTATCCCAATCAGTTCGGAAAGTGACAATGAGTAAGATGATAGTTTGCATGAGTGTACCCCCAATCATTCCAGTCCATATTCCCTGCAGCAAATCATTAACCATTTAATTATAATTTCACTTTACACCAATCAATCATTAATTAGAATATAGATTATGGAAAAACTAATTAAAGAAGAAATTCACCTTAGCTCCCATATCATAGGTGAAACCAAGAACATAACCAATAGGAATACCCACAATGTAATAACATCCTATGTTAACGTACGCCACAAATGCTTGCCACCCACATCCCACGGCCACACCTGTTTTAATCAAACTTTATTAGTAATCATTTATCAACTTATTTCACTGATAGCTGTTTTGAAGAGTGGTTTTAAATAATATATTATATTTATACCAGATAAAACAGGTTGAACTCCATTGAGAACTATGGTAATAGCCAAGTAAGGAGTGAGCTCGGCTACAGCTTCAGCAACCGCTGGACTGTCTGTAAAGACGTAGCTGATGACATTGCGCCACGAGAGGATCAGTACGGCTTCAAACAGTGATAGTAAAAACGATACTCCCGTAGTTACTGCGGTTGAAAATGCTGCTGATCTTGGATTTCCAGCGCCTAATTCATTACTAACTCGCACACTGTAATAAAAAAGAATGAAGTATTAAGTACTACTTTTTCTAACGTTTACTTATGTGTTACTACGAAAACAATTGCTTAAATAATTAGAATTGTCAAAAAAAAAAAAAAACTTCTTCACCAACCTGGCAGCTGCGTTGAATCCAACGGAGACCATGAACGAGATTGCAGAAATTGACATGCTGCAAATTAAAAAAAAAAGAAAAAAGATAATAAATAAAGATGAATAAATCACCCACTTGGATCTTGTAGTAACTAACATTTGTATCAACACTTTTTCAAGTTTTCCCGCGAAAAGAAAATGTGCCGTTTATTACCCAAAGAAAACGACACGCAGTTTGTGCTCACTAGGCACGTCAAAAAAAAAAAAACACTGAAAATTTGGCTTTAACGGAAAAGCTAAATTACGGTGACGAATTCTGATTGGTGTTACTAGTCCATAGAACGACAACAATCATTATAAGAGTTAGATTAACGTGACTTCCGTCTCTCAAAAAGGTGATTACAGAGAAAGTAGCCAAAAATAAATAATTATTTATATATACTGAAACCACAAAAAGTTCAATAGTTTGATCAGATTGATTGTTATACGTACCAGTTATTTAATCCTTTCTTCAGATTCAATGTTCTCAAATTTCATTATTAATCAATAATAATCCACTTTTTGTTTAAATCAAACCTACATTTCATGGATGGACTTCGAGTTTTGGATGTATACTAAACAATTGTTTATTGGTTACTACTATTATCAATTATGTGTTATAATATAAGGTAAATAAAGTAAAAATTTAAAAAGAAAAGAAAACTATAGCATAAAATATTATCTTATCTCCAGATTCATATTGTTCTTCAGTCTACGTTACTAATATATAAATGATTCACTTTCATATTAAAATTTAAGCTAAATTTTAGTGTAGATCAAAGGTTTTGAACCACTTACCAGATAGCTAAAGAATCCAAGGCCAGTTCAGGGTTCTTTAGAAGTCCAGCGAGTAAAACAAGAATCTGAGCATACCAAGACTCAAGGCAGAGCATGACCGCTGAGGCAGCCGATAACCGAAAAAAGTCCCAAAGACCATCAAAAGCTTTCCAGCTAAAACCAGTCCAAGTCCGGCGACATCTTGGACTCACCTTAATATACAAAACCTGAGCAATAACAATGATCCACCACGAGAGACTATGTACCACAGAGAGACCAATCAAGCCCCACCCGAACTTGAACACGGCTAGCCAAGAGAGGAGTATGTGAATGACGAGTGTGGCGGCTGAGATGTAAGCGCTTGGGGTCACGATGCTCTGTGACTGGAGGAACTTTTGTATAGGGAAGTTGGCAGCGTAAGCGAAGATCATTGGGATCATACCGTAGACAAAGATGGAAGCCATTGATGCTACATCAGCTGGCTCGCCTAGTGAAGTGAGGATAGGTTTGGAGAAGATGAAGAGTATTGTCATGGGAAGTCCGGTGAGAAAAAGAACCACCGTTGACCTTTGTAGGTAGACTCCGAGCATCTCGTATCTGTGAGCTCCGTGCGCTTGTCCACATAATGTTTCCACTGCACTTCCCATTCCAAGCTGTGTCACCATGAAAAATAAATTTAATATCCTTAAGAATCAGAGAAGATTTATCTCACTTACAAGAAAAAATTATTATCAGAAGTTATAAAAAAAGAAATAATTGTTCGTATTTTCAACTATTTTTTTGGTTTTGGTATAAATTTTTCACGCACACCAACGTATATGAAAACATTATCAATATAAATCCCTAGATTATTTAAGCTATTAAACCGGTTGATTAACCAGGCTTTGAATCTGATCTAAACCGAAACTGGTTTAACCTGTAATAATTCGAAGATTTAATGCGTCTAAGTAAATAAAAAAACAACTACAGTGAAACCTCTATAAATTAATAATGTTTGGACTACACTAAACTTCATTTTTATTAATTTATAGAGATTATTAATTTATTAATATACTAATTGAATCAAAAACTCAATTTAAGAATTTAAAATTATAGTATTTTATAGAGATTTTTAATGTATATTAATTTATAAAATATTAATTTAAAGAAATTATACTGTATATTTTTGGTTTCAACTTCATTAGATCCATAACTTTCTGAATGTTGAGTTATACGTTTATACAGTTTGAGTTTTAGATATTTGTTAAAAAAACAAAAGAGTTTAGATGTAATAAGAGAAAATGTAAGTAATAATTAGTACCATGAGACCAAATGTGAACATGTTGAAACCACTGTTTCCGAGAGAAGCTGCGGCGAGTTGCATACTTCCCATTCTTCCGGCGAAGATACGAGTGAGCATAGACATGCCATTATTGATGACGTAGACAAAGATCGCCGGAGCCGCCAGGTGGAAGAGAAATGTCAGCTCGATCAACCCCGCGTAATAAATCCGCCGGAGATAAGGCATATGAGTGTCCGTTAACACACTCTCCATCCTGAAATCAACTTCAGACTTCGCTGGCTCAAGTAACGGTTGCTGGAGGTTTTCCACGGCGGCCACGTCAGCTTCCGAAGCCATTCTTGAAAATATATATTTTACTATTTACTAAAAATAAAAGAAAACAATGGAGTAGTAAAATGGAGAGGAAGAGAAGATGTTTATTTATTCACGACTCTTCGCTCTCTTTCTCGCTCTTTGTTGAGTTTGTGTATTGTTCTGCGACTTAGCTCAGAGGAGTTGTAATATAAAGGCGAATTTGCCGTGTCTACTGACCGAAATTATATAATTTTTTTTTATTTAGAAGATAATAAAGAAAGTTTAAAAGGAAGAAACGTAGAAATGCCTAAATACCTATTTTGCCCTCTCTTTTTTAACACCAGTCTATTTCATAAAAAGAAAGTTCACTAGATGTCAAGAAAATATTTTTGTTCAAAAACTTTTTTGTAAGGTAAAAAAAATACTAATATTTTTTAAAATTATACTCCAGGTAGATAAATTTTAAATTTTAAATATAGCATTCTATACATAAATCAACTATCCTTATATCCAGTGTTTTTAAACCCGACCCGGACACTGAACCGGACGACTTACCGGATCATTGGGTCACTGGATCGACCGCGGGTAAACCACGGGTTAATAAATAAAATTTTATTATATAATAATATATTAGCTATGAAAATAAAAATATAAAAACTAAAGTTAAATATTTTCTAAATGCTTTAAAGCATAAAATGTATAAATATACAAGATATCAAAACTAGTTTATACTATTTAATTTTTACTCAAAACTAGAGTAATATCAAAAAAATTAAGATATAAAATTCATAAATATTTAAGTGTCTAATGAGAATAATAGATTAAACTTCAAATACAAAATAAACCAAAAGTAAAACATCATTGTAAAAAATTATCAATAACAGAAATAAACTAATACCAAATTACATCAACTAATTTTGGTTCTCGCTACCACCCTTTAGTTCATTTTCTTCAGGTGGTATAGTGAAATCTTCATCAAAATTTAAAAATCACACATAAAGTAGTGTAGTAGGTATTATGTATTATAAAAAGTTAGGACGTTTAATCAAATTTTAAAGAAGAAGACGACAATGCCAATAACTAAAACGTGAAAGCGTAACTTTTAAATTAGAATTTAGAATTTAAAATGGAATAAAAATATAATTTTAAATTAAAAAAAAAAGTAAAAGTTTATTTATTGGTTTAACCAGTGGTTCAACCGGCATCGGGTTTTGGGTTTTAGTGGGTTTTTCCAGGTTTTTGAGGGTTTTTAAATTTTGGGTTTTTAACAAAATCCAAACCAGATTTATTTTGGGTCACCGGGTTTACTGGTTCAACCGTGGGTCTGGGTCGGGTTTCAAAACACTGTTTATATCGTAAGCTTAAAATTGTTGTTATATATATTTTTCAAACTATTTTCGTATAAGGAGGCTAAAACAACGTTAAAATTGTCAGCATAAGAGGGAAGGCTGGCTGCTATAACCATTCTACCATTTTATTCCTTACATATTTATAAATATAGAATATTGCAATGTTACAAAAAATATATATCTGTTCTTTTTTCTGGAAACAGCTTATATCATGCAATTTGTTCTTTTACAACGTTATCATTCAACTTTAATCACAGTAAACTCTTCAACGTGACGGTTTAATAATTATGTCTTTTATAAAACTTCTTATCTTACTACACTAATACTTGGGCGACTACATTACTAGAAATAGTATATTGTAGTAAATGGTGATAACAGTAATTGTAACTTTTTTTCTATCAACAAAGTAATTGTAACTATAAATGATACTCTCTTTCTGAAAGATTTATGTTTTATAAAAAACTAATATAATTTGCATTTATTTATTGTTTTTTATATTCCAGTAAATATTTATAGTTCATATTTTTACATTTTTATTTTAAAGTAAAATGCATACTGGAAATATAATGCATCCATATTTCAGATAATTTTTAAAAACATCATTCTTTAAATACAGATGGAGTAATTACATTCTGTCTCTTTTTGGCAACAGTTCAGAATTAGTATTAGTTCAACATGATTTTGTTAGAAACATGCTACCACTTTTTTTTTTTAACAACAGAAACATGCCTACCGAAAGAAAAGGAAATCATGTTATTTACTTATTGTGTTTATATTTTCTCATGGATCAAACGCAGAAAGCAAAGCACAACACGTGATTTTAATGTCCCTCCCGGGTAAAAAGTCCACACGACACACTCGACAGTCAAGAGAGCAATCAAGTTACATTTTTAGACCCTCCGTTACGTAACGTTTATCACTTTTCAGTTGCGTCTTTCGCGACTGTGGTAAGGATATTTTTTGGGCGTTCTTGATGCAACCAATCCTTATCATTTTAGATTTTTAACCGGTTTGGTCGGAGGCTCGGAGCGTCCTACTTATTCCCAATGTTCATGTCACGTAGGTTCTCTAATCTTTGTCTTAGTCTCGCAAACTTTTTGTTTGTAAGTTCACCGGATGTGGTATGAATGATTATCACTTTGTGAAGATAAGATTACTTTGACATTTTGCATTAATTAAAGCTATGCAAACGCTTACAGTTAATGTATGTTGGAAAATAAGCAGATGCGTCGTGGGCTGTGGCCTGTGGGCAATGGCAATGATCTTTTTTTCTTTTTCTTTTTCATTTTTGTCAGCAGCAATGGCAATGATCAGAAACAACGAGTCAGTGGTCGGGAGTTCTCTACGATGACCACATGGCTACATTTAATAGTAATATTTTGTAGAAATTTTACGTCTTCCACTTCTATTTGTTTTTATACGATTAGCCGGTACATAAGACATATATGTACGCCAAAATATTAAAGCCTTATTTACTCATAATAGTAGTTAAATTAATATTTTAGTCTGACTTAAAAAGAACAATAATTTCTGTGAAATTATTAATTTGAAAACGGCGAATAATTTGTTGTGTGTCGGATGACTCATTTCCGAATCATGAATTTTTTTTCCTTCCGTTAATAAACGAACAAGAACAATAACGAATCGAAGATGGGATTAAAACTAGATGAGATCGATGAAAAGAAAGTATAGACTACCACATAAGATTCGAGACTTTACAAAGATTACTATGGATATGGTTTCCACAACACGTAACTTACGTGTTATTAATTAAATCACATAGTTTATCCAATACAAATCTAAAAGAAATAACAACTCCAACTACAAGATCGAAATTGAAGTATATCAAAAGAGGGAATTGACAACTCTTTTGGTTTGCTGGACTTTACTAGCGAATCAATAATGATGAGTACTACATGGTTATGATTTAATAGATTTCAAACTGTCACAATCAGTTGAAGTTGTAAAGCAAAAATAATGTTAGCCGATCCAAAATGCTTTTACTTTCAGCATGAAAAAAATTAATGGAAAAATGGTAAAAAAAAAAGAAACTAATGGAAAATAATTAATTAAATCAAATAGTTTAATAGATTTCAGAAAACGTTAATACACGTAACTTTGGTAAGCATATTTAGGGGAGTATTCAATTAGAAATTTGAAGTGATTCATTAAAATGATAAATTTATTGTTATTCAAACATGATTTAAAAAAAGAATTAGGGTTATTGAATTTTTTTTATTTTATAAATTACTTTATAATCTATTGTTATATCGAAAAATTCAGGTTATGAATTGTGTAATATTTTGACTAATTTTAGAGAGTTTTATTGGTAAAAGATAGAAATCTCAATTTCATGACTTTAAATAAGATATTAGAGAATTTTAACTACAAGCATAATAAATTTTATCCTATCTAAAATGGTCTAAAATTTACTGAAAACCAAATCACTTCAATGAGTAGATTGAATGCACTAATTATGATTTTTATGTATCTATATATCGTGTATGTAATTTTTAAAATAACTCAGGTCTTATATAAGTAAATAAAAACCCAAGTTGGAACCGATCTATATAATAATATGAATCCGATCTGCAAGAGCATAGTGTGGGTGTGATTTATTGGTTGCCGACAAAGAAAATGCATTAGCTGCAGCCCATCTGCGATCGAACTCCCAACAGATACCATTAATAATTACTTCATATCTTAGGCTATAGTTCTTAACATACTACACAAGTGATATATAAATGCAATATGTATGTAACTTATCACAAATACTGCTAACTCCAAGCTATTTTACAAAAAAAAGTACTGCTAATTCCAAATAAATAAATCTAATATACATCATATTTTCCCGACAAATCATAGATGACTAAATTTACAACCATAGGGTATATTCTAATGGTTTTTATAAGTACTTGTGAAACTAATACAAAAAGCTATCAGATTCAATACCGAGAAAATTTGTATTAAAAAAAAAAATATATATATATATATATATATATATATATATATATATATATATATGTGATAAATCAACCATTAGACCATCTCGCTGATGGGAATAAAACAATTTTTGGTTAAACATATATTAAAAACTGAATTAGCGAAAAAGGAACATGATTTTTTTTTTCAACAACATGGAAAATTTAACCAGAGAAAACAAACATTTTAAATAATATGGTGACGTAGACGTAAAGTTAAATGTGACGCACAAAAGGTGCCACGTTGGGCATGCCAAACTCGTGCTTTTTAAATTCACAAAATGCAATTTTGATTGGAAGGTCAAATTACGTTGACTATTGAGTCGCAAACGCGGACAAGCGAGTCTTTAGCAGCTTCCACAGCTAAGCACACGGACAGTTTACACCAAGCTCTTACTCGTAGTGTAGGTGTGAAAGTTCATTGTTGTAATTTTGTTTATTAATATATTTAATATTACATTATTATTATTATGTGGAGTATTTGACAAGTCAATTTCAGAAGATAAAAGAATAGTCAAAATATTAAAGAAATAAGAATAATCGTGGTGATAACTTGACCAACGAATATATACATTGACTAATACTTTTTTTTCTTTTTAATCGACTTGTACTTCTTCTTTTTTGAGAAAGGGCATTAATCGAGTTGTGCTTTCGTGATTGCATGTAATATGTTTCCATTTAAGCTGAAAGAACTGTTTTCTAGAAATGTTAACTTCTCTCAGAATTTTCATTAATTAGAGCATTTGTAATAGTGTATGATAATATGTCAGCATGAGAAAAGCGTGGTAATTATAAGTCACAATAACTGCATTTTAAAAAGATAGAGTACATTTTGATCTGTCTGCAGA